AAACAATCTGGTACTTTTTCTTTTAACTGAGCTTGTAGCCACCTTTCATAAAAACACAGTGGTGAATGTTCTGGAGCATTTCAGCCAATGAATTCTCCAGCACACTGGCTTTGATGCAGACCAATGCCGTCTAAACCTGTGCCTGCGGTTGAGCAGTGCTTGGCGGGTGGCTCTTCATATACCGGCCTGCTGAACAAGAGCCCACAGGTTTTCGATTGAATTGGGATCGCGACTTTTTCCAAGTCATAAGCGTTAGCCCTGAATGATTGAAGGTTCTATCGGCATCACTTCCCGTTCTTTTAGGGACTTTTAAGTAGCGCGCCGCCCCGCATAAAGACAGCGTGGCTTGAATCAGGCATCAGTGCGCGTTCAGAAATCGTTCAGGCATCTATGCCGTCTGGTTGAGCGCCTCCAATCATGCTCCACCACCTTCCCTGGAAAAGCTCCACCCTGGCCTATGGGGCAAAATAAAAGGGACAATAACACACAATAAGACAGATAAAAACAAAGCAAAATTAACTCATTACCTAACGAAATTCAGGCTGGAGCAAATACATAGGTAATAGGTACTTATGTCAAATTAGAATGAAAGATTAAAATCAACCTGACCAGGCCTTACGGTCTGACCTGGTCCCAACCACCTTACTTCGCCTAACTTAACCCAATTCAACCTAGCCTACCACAACACCTGCAGAGGTACCTTCCTGGAAAAATGACGCCCAGGGAGGTGACTGTCCAACTTATTGGAATACTACCATGATTGCTTGTCAAAATGTGTGTCATCATGCTCTTGTTTGACAAGTGATGTATAATAAATGTGACATTCAAAAATGGTCTCCTGACTGTTGACTGTTGAGTGGTCAAAATATTCAAATAATCAGGGTACAATGCTGTGCATATAGTGCACACTAATCATGTTGTTTTTGTTAGGCCCTCTGCACATTGTTGTGTGCACTGCTATGTGCACCTTAAGTAAAGAAGTGACTGGTGGTACATGACAACAGGTTGTGCAACTGTGAAGTTCATGCCCTTGGTCAAGCTGGTGCCAAATGCCTATAGCTATAGCAGGATCAGTGAGGGTTGTAGACATGCTACATACATTGTGCAATTTGAAGATATTGGCAGTTGGCACAAAGTTCATCCGTAATTACTATGCTTAACACCTAATGTAAGAAGCAACATAAATGCCCAGATGATAAAACTCTCCGGTCAACATCACACAAATTTATTGACATACTTTGCAGGTACATATTTACATTCATGGTAAATACTTTCAATTTGATTCAGAAACTAGTTGCTAGTAAGCTTGCATTTTTGTAGGTACAACAACGACCAATATATTAAGTCATAAAAAACCTTCTCATAGCATTCATCATATACCTTTTTACCGAACAAGTACCTAGCTACCATGCAATGATTATTTTTTTCCGCAATCCATCTATATCTCAACTGACACAATGAATTTGAAATACCCTAACAAAACCTATAACTGTACATAAGAAGAATGCAATACTACAACTGTCAACTACAAGAACTATGAATTTCTGAAGTTATTCTCACATGCTGGAATGTTGAAACTCTACTTTTGTCGTCCATTTCCACGTTAGATTGAGCCATCATATCAAACTGTTTTCGTTCTTCAGTCACAATGCTTTCGCACAAATCTTGAATTTTTACGCATCATCTTGAACCATGCTCCAGTCTTTCCAACAAGGTACTATGTAACATCAAAGCAATTTTGATTTGTTACAACAGCTTCAGATCATGATAGGCTTGAGGTTTGTTACACCATTTGCCAGACAAATATCTACAAAATGTGTATCAATTCCCAAACTAAGTAATTGATCATATCAGTATTTGCAGTTTCCACAAAATGTTTCATAAAACTATTCTATGTTTACATAAAGAAACTCAAATAATCCACAAATTGTTATTGAAACACTCCCACTTCAAGAGTTCACAGCAATAACAATACAAAGAAGCAAACAAACATTGCGCCAGATTTCGTATGAAACGCGCCATCGTCCTGAAGTTTCTACCACAGACGGTAGTTCAACCGCAGCCGTAGTGCAAAAACCCCTGCCCACCTTACCCCACGGCGGAGCTCGGTTGCAATTTGTAAATACGCGCTGCAAAACGTTTTAGTCAAACATTTAACAGACGTTCGAAAGCCTGATGACGTCATCAGATTCCCGTAATGGTTAAGAGATAGGGACCACGCTGGTCCCAGGGGGTGTCGAAGTCTAGTAGGAAAATCTGGCAAATTCCCTGCGTGACGTCACGTCGGGGATGACCGACGGCACCTTGCATTGAAAGATACGGCAGAACGGCTATTTTTGAAAAATGATTAAAAATACTTTTGTGCTGTTATGACGCATAAAACGCTTATCAGCATGTTTCTCATCATGTGATAAAGGCATATCCGTGGTCGAAAATAGCTGAGCCCCTCCCAATTTCCAACCACCGACCTCATAAGCAAAGGATGTAAGCGTAATCCTTAAGGGCGACTTTCCTATACATATCCGTACATATGCGTCCTTATGGAAATCGGTAGTGTGGCGATTGGCGACGCGCGCGACATCTGTGTGGCGACCAAGTGGCGACTGTGGCGACACCTGGTGGCTGCTTTTCTGCTGTATGTAGGCATTGGTGTTTTGCCAGATGTGGTTCCTACTGCTACACCACTATGTTGACCCAATACTAGAAAAGTTATTTTGCTAGTAAAAGGCAAGCAAATTGAAAGTTGATTTATAAAATTGCTTATAAATGATTACGAGATAATAATAAAGAAATTTTGATTGAATAATTATTTAAATAATCAACCGTGAAACTATATTCTGGTAGGTTTAGTAGAAATAAGTCCGTGCAACCTTGTATTTAGGGCCTTGGCTGGTCCCACCCTGCAAGTAAAGGGAAGAAATTTCTTGAACACCATAAAGCTGCGGGGTTTGCGACCAGGATAAATGGTGGTTTCTGAGCCTGGCCGCAAACTTGGCTATCTCAACTCAAAACTAATGTTAAGGTGGGAGGGTCCCTTTAATATTCAGAATGGAAAAGATCTTGTCAAAGGCACTGCCATGCAGTTAAAATTGGTGAAACCGCGCCTTACTTTAGCAGTGGGCTATACCTCAGTAGGCGGAACTATGGTCAAGCGTACCCATTTTCGGGAACGCATTTTCGTTCCCATGTTTGGGAACGATAAACCCAAATATGGGAACGCCATGTAGGCATTATTTAAAACAAGAAAAAGAACCGTTAAATGACGTCCAAAAAATATAAAACGATCGTGAACCGCCTGATAGTTGTCTCAATATTGTTGGGAAAGAGTTTGATATTGTAAGGCCCATCGTAGTTTCAAATCGTTCCCCTATTTCTAAAGCAGTCCATCACCCGGGCCGCGAGCCCAAATTTGGGAACGCTCTCGTACACTGGCGCTGCAAGCGTTCCTTATTATGGGAACGGCGTACCCAAAATTGGGAACGATTTCACCGACGCCTTTCAGGGGCTCTTTTCATTAACAAGCATCACGTCCAACGCCGCAAATTATTGTTAACGCAACAATCATCAGATGACCTTTCCGGCAAGACCGTTGCATGTTTCGCCCGGTCTTCTGCTCTTTTATTCCCGTCGATCTCGCAGCGGGCACGCCCCCCTCTGCAGGATTACGTAATCCACAACGCTCAGCGATGTTCAACAAGGTCTTCCATACCTATATCCACCGTCCGCGCCGAGGGTGGAGACATGTCAAGCACCTGTCTGCTAATCACCGAGAGTTGACGAGCACAAGAAGTATCCAAAAATGGGAACGCTGAATATGTTACACCCTCAAAACACCTAGTCCCAATGAAAATCTAGTTTTTTCCTTTCTTAATGAGTGTAAGTGGCAAAAGGCCTGGTAGGATGGGCACGAGGAATGATGGAAATCAGCATAAAAATTATAAATAAGCCACACAGAGCGACCTATATCAGAGAAATTCCCCCCAAACGATCATGCTTAGAAACGCCGAAGACAAAAACCACGCTCATGACGCTGCTTATAAAACAACGCTAAACAGCTAGCATCCAAATAAAATATGTCTTTCAGGGCTGATAAAATACAGCTGAATGATTTTAAACCACTGAAACTGAGTTTACAACAGTAGTTCGGTAAAATCACTGACGTTCCACGCGGTCGATCGCCCCGACACCAAAAGTCAACAATATTACCTCGGGACTGTCCGCGTGTTCGCTTGCATATGTCAGCATCTGGTGTCGCTAGAATGAAACTTCATAACCAGGCGAAAATTATTATACTTGACCTCAAAATGTAAAAAATGCTTCATTTTCCTTAAAATTGCATGTTAAATGTCGTATAACCCATATTTCCACCATTCTGTCATTTTTAAAAAATCATTAAAAATATCATTCCACGGTCAATTTCCTTGTTCCACGGTCAGATTAAAGATAACTTTATGGAGATTTAGTAGATACTTAAATCAGCGTGCACTTTTTTGAGACGTGATGCACTTTTGAGTTTTAGTGGGCGAACGGCCGAAAAATTGCCTTCCGTTCTCATAAATGGGAACGCCCGTTCCCATATTTGGGAACTCCGTTCCCAAAAATGGGAACGTTCCTATATTTGGGTACTCATGACCATAGTTCCGCCTACTGACCTAGCTCTCAGAAGTGTCGAGCAGTGAATTCCCTGGATTAGATAGAATCAAACGCTAAATATAAATAAGCAATAAAAACCCCACAGTTTGCTGAGAAATGACACATCAAGAAAAGCATTTCAAAATCTGAAATGGAATCACATAACCTATAAAATAACTTGATCTTATCTTCTTCAGCTCTCTAAACTTGAATTGAAACCACCGAAAATTCAGCTCATTTTGCTTCCAGATGCAAACACCCTCCAGTTACGTCGTTTTAACAGTCAAATGTATCAGCAACAACTGTATCAACAGCACTCTCAAGTTTCAACATTTAAATGAGAAATAAATTGAATGAAAATGCACACATGTTGTTGTTGTTGTTGAAGAGTTAGGGCGCGCAGCAGCTTGGCTCAAGCGTCCAACTTCCAAGTTGGTATGTCCTCTTGTAGTCTTCAGAGTTGCAGTAGGCGTATGGTTGTGGTACTAAGCGGAACTAAGCAGGTTTCCGGGTAGGGATGAGGAATGACTGGGGAGAGGAAAAATTGCGATGGTTAGGAGATAGCCTTGGTAGGATATGTCCTGGGCGAGGAGAGAACAGAGAAGTTAATGTTAGTTGTGAATACTACAATGCTACTTACAGTCTTAGCTACTTGGGGATAGCCAAACAGCTCGGTAAGCAGGAAGAGCAATACAGCTCATTCTTCAAGGGGGCAAAAGGCGCTCTGGGAGAAGGCATGGTTCTATCTAGAAAGAAAAAAGAAAAAAAAGACACAAAACTTGGGTCTTGACATGGGGGTTACACGATACTTAGGGATTTCACTTCACAGTATGGGGGTGACATAGAAACACATAACATACCCAACCAATTTCAGACATTTCAGACAGGTGTTCTGTAGCAAGGTAATGGAAGGGAGGGGGGGCGTGGTACGCACTGCTGCATCGTTGCGGTTCATCAACCACCGCAGTCCGCTGTCGTTCAGCTGGTTGTAGAAGAACAGAGCTATTTGCTGCTGTAATGAACTCGATAGTAGAGCTGGTAGAACAGGGGAGCTTGAGAGTCTTGGAAAAGATCCCGAGAGAGGTCTAGAGAGAGATCCAGGTAGTGATGAAGATGAGATCCTGAGATAGATGTATGGATCCACCTGGTAGGGATGTAGGTATCCAGATAGAGATCTTGAGATGTAAGTCTAGATCCACCTGAGAGAGAGAGAGATGTAGATCTCCACCTTGCGTACAAATACATCTGATGGAAGATGCTTTTTGATTTAGGCACTTGATGATTCTGTTCATTGTATAGACTATGATGCACGAGATGCTTCTTCACTGCTCGGATTAGGGATGACGGGATCCGATCAGCTGGGTTTGCGGCACAGATGGGCAGGTGAAGGACAGGGCATTCGAAGTCCCGATGACCACTGCCAAACTTATGGGTGGTAATTACATTGATTAATTGAATGTGATCATTCGTCCAGTCACCCATTCCTATATCTCTGGCCTCCCTATTACGAAAATTGCCCACTTAGTTCGTATTAGCGTTGCTAGTTTAATTGCCCTCGAGAATCATTAGCTTGACTGCCCAACCTGAGTTCTGCTTAACTCCTATCGGCCTTATCCTAAGATTTGTCCTTCATCATTCTTACGCTCATCCACACAAAGCATTTGCCCTCCATTCACTCGCCCCAATCGATTTAGCAGCCCCCGAAATTCCCTCCGATAGTGTTAGGTGTCTGGCTGACGACGATCTCCCCGGCGAGATAAATGTCTCTTTCCGAAATCCATATGCATGCTCCGCTAACCGGCGACAAAGATACTTATCGCAGGGCCGTCCAGAATAATTGCACAAATATCCACCCTACTAATTTATGGGATTCACTACACGTCCGATAGACTTATGGTACACACATACACGATTTATATCCGACTTATCTCTCTACCGGGAGAGATTACCTATGCCCTCTTCCGGTCCGCGTGTAACATTCCCGTTCACGACCCAGGGACCACAGTTCATATCCTGGAACTATCCTTAAACCATGGGATTTACTCTTCAAGGCCTTACGTGTCCTGGAGTACATTCTTCCCTCCCCTGAGGCTGTCCAGTACCGATCAAAGTACCTTTACGAAATAAGTATGAGGACTTATCCGGGACACTACGGCTCAACTTATCCGCCCTTTGGGTGACTCACCCCTGACCTTCGGCTTACTGCCTTTGGCATAACTTACTCTCCACTGCACTGTGCCAATCTTCCCCTTCCCCCTGCCGTAGAAACCTCTCACTGCCTTCTCACCCAGTGTTACCTAAGCGGGAAAATTAACAGTGGCCGGTACCACTGGCGGAAAACGTGCATATGCCCTGCGTACGTGACGGTGTGTCCCTCTTAACATTCCGGTCTGGACGTGGGTTTAGAGAAGTGCATCTGTGTCTCATACAGTCATGCTGGTAAACGTTACGCCATAGGAGACGGGCAAACAAGCCGTCTGTGCCTCACAATGCCCTGTGCCAATATTGGTGGAATAATTATTGGCGCTAACTCGCAAGAACACGAATAACAGAAACGCATTATTTATCCAAACCAAATCGTAATCTCAAGTCATAACTTCTGCTGCACACGTGAATCCAACCATCAGTTCTCGTATACAATCCTAGTAGACCTTGAACCGCTCTTGATTTAATCAGATGATCTAGAACCAATTAGTACGCACCGATCTGCCGTCTGGTTGTGATCCACCGTATCATAGTGAATTACTGAATGCTCAAACGGAAATGACTCCTTGAAACTCGTTCGATAGCTTCTGACGGGCTACTAGTTACCTATACAAATTATCTTTATAAAGTGCCAGAACATTGTCATAGGGGTCCCTAGCCTTTCATAGAAAATCTAATTTAAATCATCCTATTAGCAGTAACCAATGCACATCAAACGAACTGCAGTCCTAGATATCATATAGCATGTCATATTTAAAATTATGCATTAACTGTTTACGTTCTTATCCCGTTGCAACTTTCCACAACTAACCATGTTTCTATACGATGACCTTCACCTACCGCACGCGCCCCAATTACGGCTAACCCACTGCCCCTGTTGTGGCTGCTCCTCGCGCCCTCTGGCGGCTCAACGCCCGCGTCGGGGACGACGAATGCCACGGCCGCCGGCCGGCGCCGCGTCGACAGCGTCAGTCACAGTCACGCCGTTATGGGCGCGTCAACACTCGCGGTACAGTGCTCGTGCGTGTTTTCTCTTCTGGCCGGGTAGATTCACCGGATGTGTCAGTGAGTGTGAATCTGATAAAATATCGCTGCAATATCTCCCCGTTCGACATCTCATCGGTTCCGTTCTACGTAAGTTTTCTTTAAATAACTTCTTTCCCCATTTAATCGTTTCCCAACAAAGATGATCTCTTCTAGTATTTATTCTACAGAAGCACAACGATCGGTACCTATATTAGTCGCATATTAGTTCTAACCACAAGCAATTCTACATCTACCTATTACTCGACATTTCGCAATTTCAATGACGCAAAGTACAAGGACCAGCTAAAGTCGCAAAAGTGTCAAACCGTCGACCTCAAACCACTACTCTCAACTCTGCACCTAAGTAACAGAAGAAATTCCGCCGTAAGCTCAAGCATTCGTATCTGTTGAAAATCATAACTCATAGCCATATTCGTAGATCGATCGCATGAATCAGTCGCCGCCTTAAAACATTATATTCCTATTTCACCGTATTCACCTGTTCTATAATTGATTTTGACTTCACAATTAATTCCTACAGTAATATCACCAATAATTTCGCAATGCAACTTTTAGTGAATTAAGCACGAATCTACACCATTAATTTCACAAACGAATTCCAACCTCAAATCGCACTTGACCACCGCCGATTATAATAAATCGAACGAACCAGTTTGACCAAAGACAATGACATATTCAATGTTGTCACGCATCCTGTCATCAATTTCAGCGTTCGTGACACTGAGCTGCTTATTCAAATTTTAGGATTTCGCTCACGGCCTAATCGTGAATTCCAACGGACAATAACGATTCGCTGGCGACTCTGACATGACCTCGAAATTCAGATCCTAATATGCTACTAGGGTGTCTGGACCAATAAGTTCAAAGTAATTTAAGTTTTCCAATTCCAATTGAGAGTGCATTTTATGGCAACCGAAAATGTTTGGCAGTCGTCACGGCACGGCAAGCTGGGCAGAGGGGGGGGGGGGGTGGGCAAGGATCAGGGATTGAGCAGACTTTTCAACAACACTCACATTCTGGAGTTTCTCTGCGCTTCCGCTTCTCAGTGTGGTCACAAGCGTCGGCGGTTGTCCTCCGGCTCTGGTCGGTCGAACTGAAGAGGCTTCTCGCGGGTGACCCCGGACCGACGGCGGCCTCCAGATGGCGTCTCCGGCTCCGGCTGCAGACTGTGACTCTCGGCTGCTCGACTGTGATTCCCCCTCTGGTTGGGTGGCGCACCCTTTTATAGTTGGGGGGGAGGGGTGACTGCCACGCCCTTGCGACGTCATCTTCCTCTGCCTTCTTCTGGTGGGTGGGGCTGTAAGATGGCGCCCTCTGTCCTGTTTAGTCACCTTGCTCCTCTGTGCCTGCAATTTTTGGCCGTCGAATCGTCTTGGTGTTGAGTGCTTTATCATTTTAATAATCGCTGGCATAAAACAATCCCCGAAAGGTTTGTGATTTTCGAGTTTTAATTTTGATTCTTCATTTTCATTTTATTCAAACTTTTGTTTCCTTCCGTTTCGTCTGCCGCCAACGCCCCTGTGACGTCACTCTTGCTCCGCCCACCGTACCGGGGCGTGGCCGTAACGCAGCGCCTTCTTCCTCTGCGGAGATCTCTGGAACTACAGGTCATTGCTTGCGGCTTGTTGTGGAGGTCACCTTCAAGGCGTTCTGCCGGGTCACTCACCCTGGGTTGTTGTACCCCGACAAAGGAGGCTGTGTGCTCCAGCCGGCATCCATCCTTTACACTGCTCCATGATTTGATGACGTATCTTGCTGATCCAGCGCTCCCAGCCGTTATCTGTCCTCGGCGTGGGTCCACGAGCTGTTGACAGTGTTACTGATCCAGCTGTTACTTGTTGGGATTCGAATCGTTCATCCTGCGGTAGCTGTCTCCAAAAGCGCGCGTCTTAATGGGAGTTTAACGGCTGCCCATAGCGAAGACCTCTGGAACTACTGCGTTTTTGCTTGCCATAGGATCTTCCTGGTTGTGCCATTCCCACCATGTGACTCAGCGCGGTGCAGCTGTTGTGGTACCTGACAGAGTACGTGACAAGTGACAGAGTACCTTAACGTGCTCGCTCGCCGCCGCCGCCGGCCGCGGTCCTGACGTAGCTTGTTGACTCAGCTGTGCCTCGACGGTTCGTACTGATGTAGGCGGCATCGTCTTCTCGCAGATGTGTCTACTGCGGCTATTCCCACGGACAGTGATCGTTGCGGGAGATGGAGAAAAGTGATGTGTGGGGATGGTGGGCCTGGTGACTGGGGGGGGGGGGGGTGAATAATGAGAGGGGAGGGGAGCGCAGCAGTAGCGCTCCGCTCAGCTGTGCGTCACCCGGTAGCAGCGATGGGTGAGTGAATGGAGGGCTAGGCCTGTGACCGGACTGCGAGGGGGGGGGGGGAGACTGCCGGACCAAGCCGTGCCGAAAAGATTCTACGTTAAATGTTAAAGATGTAGCGTGCTACAGTTCTTACAACGTGACCATGGATGAAGTATTGCTTAACCATGAATGCATGAGCTCGAGTAGTAATCCACTCTTTTAACCTAGAAATACCTAATCCATGGTTCTTGGATTCAACATAACATGAAGGATTGTGTCGAGCTTATCTGAAGCCATAGCACATATGAACACAAAATACATTTCATTATCATCACTTAGCACCCATAACGCCTCTACGTCCTTTGTTCAGAGTTTGTCGTATAAGTTGCACTGTCGAAGATAATCGAACACTGCATCCACCACCGTGGGTTCACCGTTTCCCAGGAGAATCCCCAGCGACATGCGGACGCCGACATCTCGACACGCCGCTGCGAGTCTCCTCCTCGCTACAGTGTACTTTTGGCATTCTAACAGTATGTGTTGAACATCTTGGCGACATTGACACAGTTCACAGACAATAGGCGGTAGTTGGTCAATAACATGCGAGTGAGTTAAAATAGTGTGTCCGAGTCTCATCCTACACAAAACCACTTCCTCCTTTCGACTGGCACGTACACTAGAATTCCAATGTCCTATATCTGTCTTAATCTGCTTCAGTAGAGTTGGACGATAATCTAACCACAGATTTTCAAATAACACACGGACGCGACTCTTCACCAGTGGCACAAATTCCCGATGTCCTATTTTTACATCAGTCACATTAGGTTTATCATGAGCCTTTCCCGCCCAGTAGTCAGCTCTGACATTACCAGCTATGCCACTATGTCCTGGAACCCAGACAACGATGCAATCGATGCCATCTCGTACATTTTTATGATTTATCTCTAGGATCTCCACCAAGACCGGATGATCACGGCTCTGCACTGTAAGAGCCTTGATAACCGCTTGGGAGTCACAGCATATGAGCGCTTTGGGTACTTGGTTACGTCGCACAAACTTCATCGCTTCTCTTACAGCTACCAGTTCAGCGGTATACACAGATAACCCATCACGCAGCTTATGTGAGAAAAAGGCACTGTTCACTGTGAAAGCACATGCTACTGAGTTGTTCCGCTTGGATCCGTCAGTGTACATTTTCCTATGGTCCGGGTATTTGTCCATCAGGTCGTGAAAAGCAGTCAATATATCTGTCTCAGTCATATGTCTTTTGTCTTGAGAGATGAGCATCTGTGTGGGGACGGTGTGCAACACCCATGGTGCTGTAATACCATTTTCCTTAGACAATATGTCGGGAGGATTATAGTCTATTTCGGTAAAAAGCTTTCGCAGTCGTAGTGATACTGGGAGACCCGATATCCTCCGCAAGTAGCGGTCGGAGAGATCTTCATATAGTTCATAAGCGTCTAAATCCATTATGTGGTAGCAGGGGTGATTGTGATCACTTTTTACTTTCAGGTAGTACCGGGCTAGTAAGTCTCGGCGTCTAATGCTGAGGGGTTCCACGTTCGTGTCCACTTGTAATGCTCTTACAGGGGAAGTCCGCAAGGCACCAGTGGCAATGCGGAGTGCCGTGTTCTGAATAGTCTCAAGGGACTCCACAAGCCGAGTCCCTGGCCCATCCAAAATAAAAGATGAATAGTCGAGTATTGGTCGGATCAGGGATTTATACATGCGTAATAACACAGTTCTGTCGGCACCGTATCTTTTTCCGGCAATGCTTTTCAGTATCGACATTCGTTTCTGAGCTCTTCCTTTAACATATTCTATGTGCCCATTTAAGCTCAGTTTCGAATCAAGTAAGACGCCTAGATAACGGACCTGGTCCACAATACAAATAGGGTGACCGTTGAGTTTGAGAGTAGGTAGTTGGTTCTGGTCCACTCGTTTTAAACCTCTTCTAAACAAAACGGCGTTAGTCTTCATGGGGGAAAATACAAAACCGTTCCGCTCTGACCACTGTCCTATTCTGGTTAAAGCGTTTTGGGTTTTCTGAAATATAAGTGGGATATCTTTTCCCTGCGCCCAGATAGTGCAATCGTCTGCGTATATAGCAGCAGAGACCTCTCTTGGTATTGCGTCAATCAAAGAGTCAATCACAATATTAAAAAGCAATGGAGAGATCACCCCTCCTTGGACAACGCCATATTCCTGCTCAAACGTATCTGATACCTCTCCGCACCTCACTTGGAATGTCCTATTTTGCAAGTAGCCTCGAATGAAATGCATGATATGGCCCCGGAAGCCGATATCATACATTCTATTCAACAAAACCGTTGGGGAGACCATGTTATATGCTGACTTAATGTCTAGGAACACACCGAGGGTGGAACAGTGGTGAAGGAATCCTTCCCGTATGTGCGAATCAAGTCTCACTAGGTGGTCCCCAGTAGACTTTCCTGATCGGAACGCACATTGATATGTCGATATAAGGTCATATTTCTCAAGGTACCATGACAGTCTCTTACCAATCATCCTCTCTAGTAATTTGCACATACAAGAGGTAAGTTGGATAGGCCTGTACGATTGCATTTGGTTGCGGTCTTTCCCTGGCTTAAGGATGGGTATGATGTAAGAATGTCTCCATGCGTCGGGGAACACGTCATTCACCCATACATAATTATAAAAACGAAGCAGTTCAATCAGCTGTGTCTCATGCATATGTCGGAAGAAATCATAGTGAACCTTGTCCGGCCCGATGGATGTAGAGCCAGATCGTTTAATAGCGTCAGTAAGTTCTCTCATTGTAAATTCTTTGTTGTAATCCTCGTAGTTCTCATCCCCAAATTCAGGTAAGTTTTCTGCTAATTCACGTTCCCAGTCAAGAAAGGCTTGGGGGTAGTTCGATCTCGAGCTCATATTCGAGAAATACCTCCCGAAGTGATTTGCCACCTCAGTAGGGTCGTCAATAATCTCGTTATTATGCATAATAACTGGGAGAGGTCTCATGTATCGATGCTTCTGCGAGAACTTACGGATTATATCCCACAGTTTCCCCATCGGGGTTCTGTGGTTAAACACTGATAGCAGCTCCTGCCATGAGCGGATCTGTGCATCTCTAATAGTCCGTCGTGTCTTAGCCTTCGCTTTCCTATACTCAATTCGTAGGAATTGGGAATGAGGGTCTCTCCTCATTCTGTTATGAGCTCTCCTTCTAGTCAGAATTGCGTTCCTGCAGTCATCCGTCCACCACGGACACGAGTATTTGGTGTTACCATTTCGGGTGGGTATAAACTTCTGGGCAGTGTCAATAATAGTTTGAGTTATTTCATCACAGTTCTCCAGTCCAAGGTTAGGATTGAATTTGAAATCACATTTCATTTCAAATTCCGTCCAGTTAGCTTTCCTCGTGTTCCATCCATAAAAAACAGGGGGCAAGTTCGTGTAGGCAGTAGGATTACCGACATCTATACGTATGGGGTAGTGGTCACTGGCATATAGGTCTTTTTCAGTGTCCCATTCAAGTATGTGAGAGATATCGTTTGATACCACTGTCAAATCGATATGGGACGTATCTCCTGTGGATTCATCCAGTCTAGTTGGCTGTCCATCATTCAAAACATGTAGGTTATGATGGTTGACAACATCCATCCAGATGCAACCCCGTCTGTCACATTGCGCAGCTCCCCACATGAAATGTTTGCTGTTTGCATCTGTACATATTACAAATGGTTTAGGGAGTTGCTGGATTAATAGGGATATATCCTGAAATGAGAAGTTGTCAGTTGGGGGCAAGTACAATGAACAGAATGTAATTCTTTCCCTCTGTAGCCTTACGGAGCAGGCTACCACCTGTAAATTGCTCTGTATAGGTAATACCATGTGCGGCAGGCGATTTGATACATATATTGATACACCTCCTCTCCTGTCACCTTGAGGTGAGTATGCGTTGTATAAAGAATAATGTGGTAAGTCAAAACAATATCTGTCATTGGCCATAAAGTGAGATTCCTGAATACAGATCACCTGGTAATTACCGTCCAAGAACATTTGTTTGGCTTCTGCCCACTTTCCGATCAGTCCTCTGGCATTCCATTGTAGGACCCTTGTCAGAGTTTCTTAGTCGAGCCAGAACACAATTCACCACTCATAAGTTCCCACTCCTTGGGAATAATTGGGCTGGCTGCTACTATCTGGTTCGTATCAGTCATGATGCTGATATTGTACCATTTTCCATAGGAAACAAGATAGCTGATCATCAACCACCTCAGCTTGTGTGGTTGTTTGATCAGCACATGTAAGTTAACAAACCGAAATACAAGTAGAAATAAAGACGTCTTGATTCTACGTTTAAAAAAAAAGAAGAAAAAAAGAGTTTGGTGTTTTAGTGCTAAAAGTTACGTTAGGGTTTGGGTTTCCTGGTCAGGCTGGGCATTCGCCTGTCCCTTCCAAGTCTCCCTCCTTGACGTTTTTTGCCAAGCTCAGGGGATGGCGATACCCCATCAGCAGGGATATCTGATGTCTCTGTCATTGATGACTGCTCAGAGTCAGGATGGGCTTTTTGGGTTCTTTCACTCCTCTCCTCGACCTCATCTGTGTTCTGCGTCACCTGCGGTGTCCAGCTCTGTCGGATCACTCGCTGAGAGGAACCAGCCAGAGTGTCTTTGTTTGTTGGTGGAGTGCTCCTCTCAGTGTCTGAGGGTGGTGAGGGCTCCTGTGAGCCCTCTGCCACCAATTGGGATTCCATGGGGTCCATGAACATGTCAGGCTGTGACTGGGTCTGAGTGTCCTCAGCACCTTCCTGCTCTCCTGTCCCCGTTTGCACTTTTGTTGGTGTTTGATTTGCCTCAGCCTCAGTCCCTTGAAGCTTAAGGACCCTGTCCAGAAGAGTGATCATTTTGTCGAGTTTCTCCCCAATCACACGGAGTTCAGTCTTAAATGTTGGGTCGGATGGCGGATCACTACTACCCCTTACTACCGAAGCATAGGATCGTAAGGTAGGGGAGCTGGTTTCAGCCGCGATGATACGGCGGGCGTGTGCATAGGACACATCTTTTTTAACCTTGATTTCACATACACGCTTCTCCTTTTTCCACACTTCACATTGCCGAGAGAGCCCATCATGCCCAGTATCCCCGCAGTGGAGACATTTCTGCTCACATGTGCCGTCATGTTTTTTGTCCCCGCATGTGAGGCATTTCACCTCTGATTGACATCTGGCCTGAATGTGGCCAAATCTCCCACACTGTAGACACATCAATGGGTTCGGGATATGCTGCCTCACGTTGTAGGTCACATAATCAAAGTCAAGTTTTGTGGGGCACGTGGGTCTGTTGAATGTAAGAAGGATAGTCGGGGTTCTTTCGATACGGCTTCCGGTTCTCCTGGTAAATCGCCTAGCGGCCACCACCCCGAATTCCGTCAGCCATCCAACAATCTCTTCCTCAGACAGATCAATCAGGTCTACTGCATGGATAGTTCCCCGACTCTGGTTTAGTCTCTCCTCTCGTTCTACAACACATTCCATGTCTCCGAACATCCGAGCTTTGAGAAGTTTCTCAGTCTGGGTGCTAGTCTTAGTCCTCACCAGCAACCGTCCATCACTCATGAAGCTAGCCTTTTCAACTTTCTCCGTGCCCCCAAGAATCCCTCTGATGCATTGTTGTATCCATGGCCATCCCTTTTCTCTAGGAGATCTACCTGCTAGGAGCTTCACTGAGAGGTAGGATCCAGACTGAGACTCCTCCTCCCCCCAGAAACTATCAGTCAGATCATCGGCCCTTACCCTCTTGCTGGCCCTATTAGGCCCCATCTTAAGTCCTATGCCATCCACACACCTCAACCTTACCTTCCGAAAGCGTAAGAAAGAAAAACCTTTTCAGTATATAATTGAAATTATCAATGGAAAGATACAAATCAAAAAGAATCTAAGTGGAAAAACACCGCCTTCGCTATCGCCCCGGATCGCCAGAAACGTCTTCCTCCAGCCACGTGTCTCGCGAGAATGAAAATGCACACAAATAAACCAATTTAACACAAATTGCATCAAATTGAATTTACATCCACATCTACAAAATATTCAACGTATTCAACAAATGAAATAATTTGTAAGTTGAGAAGTTGATAAAGTGAAGCTTTGATGACGTATAAATAAATTGAGTGCTATGTTTAATCCAGTTTAACAAATTTTACTACTTTGTTGATCATGATAAGAAAGTTATCAAAAGATCTAAGAGTAACTCATAAAAAATGAACAAAAAATTTTCAAAATTTGTTTGACACTTTCGTCTTCGTAATATGAAAGCGCGAATTTCAAAATGACAGCAAAGTTCTTTGACGCACTGCTGCATATTGTGACGCAGCATATTTCTCGTGTGCGAATTGAATTGAATTGAAGTTGTTTTGTCGATTTCCGTGGATTATTTATGGTGCGGTTGCAGCTTGTTTGCAATAAAAAAGATTTTTTCTTGCATTTCTTTTGTTTATTTTCCTTGGTGTTATTAGTAGAAATAATCATTTTAAGCTAGAAAAAATCTGGTTCATTGAACTGAGCAATTTGCAATAATCCAATTCGATGGTGTTAAAAACGAGCGATTGGTCTGCTGCGTAGGTTATCCCCATTTGTGCTCGTCTTTTTTGGGATTTGTTTGTTCTTAAAAGTCACTCATTACTTACTGCTCAGTGCTCAGTTTCTGTAAGAGTAAGATTAGGTAGGTAGCATAAGAGAAGAGATGGCAATGGAGAAGCAGGGCTTGGTCGGAATGATACCTAATTCACTACTTTTCCTACCTTCCTATTTAGATTGAATTGGAAGATGCTTATTAATTCTCTTTATTTTGTTGTTAAGTATTTGTTGGGGTTTGAACTTTAAATCTTCACAGGAGTCAGGAGCTAGGCTACGAAGTAGGATTGCTCATCCAAATTAGATGAATTGAGGACTTTGCTGCTGCATTTGGGCATGATCAGTAGAAAATATAAAACTATTGAGAAGAGGATAGATGGGCTTAAGACATTCTTGGCTTCTCAATTGAAGGAACTCTTAATTTGTACCTATGCAAGATGCATTGCAATTGTTACTAGGTGCCTACCTATTTGCCAGGAGACACCTTTAAACATATTTTGACTAGATAATTGTTTGATGCTGCTTTGATGTCAGGTTTCCATTCCACTCCCCAGCCCAATCGCAATGATTAAAAAGGACAAATAAAATTGCATATAATCCCTGACATTCATATGTGTAATGATTGTATTTGTGTTCCAGGAAAAATGGCAAAGGTTTTGATGCTGAATTTGCAGAAGATTGCTCTCACAAATTTAACTGCTGATGTTGAGGTGAGTAATGAACATATTTACTTTTATGTTGAGAAAGCTACAATATACTTACCTGTGGCCATTTTTTTAGGATGATTTTGTCTGATTCTCCTCAGATATCGATGTGACCTGAATGCACATTAGCCCTCAATTGTTTGTAAAGAGAGATTAACGATATCCCTAACTTTATCCACTTTCAAGTATGGAAACTGACACCATCATGCATACTGCTGTAGCTATCTGTCTTGATTGCCAACAGAAGAAATCAGCAAAGTAAATCAGTAAATCAGGCTTTGACAGATTGTTAGTGAACGTCATTAGTGTCGCCGAAGTTCACTCTATGACTCCGGTCACGCCGTTGGTCAGGCGTTTTTGGCCGAGGGGCCGGACTACGCGGCGCTGTACGGGGCGCTGCGCACAGCTGCCGGGCAGCTGCAGCACCGGGCCGCGCAGCTGTCGGCCGAGCAGCAGCTGCAGCTGCTCGCCGCCTCGGACAGATGCTGCGCCGCCGTCACTGCCGTCCCCGAGGACGTGCTGATAAAGTTCTGCGACCAGGTCTACTTCTTCACCTACACCTGTGCCCTAAAGGTCAGTAGCATGGTGGCAGGTGGTTTATATTTGCTTCAGGCAGAGTTACCGAAAGGGTCGACGATTTACTTATATCTTTCACGCACATTTTTGTATCAGATTGGGCTTGCTAGTTCCCTCATTGCTGCAGTTTTCAGAACTTTGCTCAAAGTGACGTCCTGGAATGATGTATAGCTTGACACGGTTCGTAACACTGGCCGCAAATCCATCTAATTATGCACTGATTTGTATTTTGTGACGATCTTTGCTCTCCCTCTGGGACACAGGAGCACCATGAGCTGGTGCTATCGTTCGCGGGGCACCTGGACAGACTGCTGCCGAGCGACCCGACAGCCACTCCGGCGGCGCCCGTCTTCCTCAACCACTCGAACCTGCTGCTGAAGACGGCCTACCAGGCGCGCTCGGCGCCGCTGGCGGCTGGTCTGCTGCGCGCCAGCCTACGCAACCTGCTGCTCAGCCGGCCCGGCGCCGACAAACTGTCCCAGACGGCGCACCAGGTGGCCGAGTGGGGCCGCAGCCGGCCCGCCGCCGCCGCCGGCCTGCCCGAGCAGCTACTGACGCTGGCGGACAGCGCGCCGGCCGAGCACGCGCCGCTGGTGGCGCTCACCGCCGCCCGGCTGGCCTGCTGCGGCGCGCTGCCGTCGGCGGCCTTCACGGCGCACCTGCGGCGGCTGGCGGCGCACTGCCGGCCGCTGCGGCTCGTGACGGCGGTGTTTGGCGCGCTGGCCGGTCCGGGGGAGGCTGGGGAGGCCGCGGAGGTGGAGGATGTGGCCGGGGAGGAGCTGGCCGGTGAGGCGCTGTACACGGTCTACTACCTACTGCAACAGCTGACAGCGACCTCCGGCACCAGCCGCCCGGCGGTGAGTGAATATCGAACGGACCCTTACCCGCGCCCACCCACGCTCATTATGGTCGGGATGCGGTCAGCGGGAGGCTGAAATTACACTCGGGATTTACAGGCTTCTTGACGTTGTCATTCCACGTTAGACGTCCATATTTTTTGTTTGTCTTGTAGGCTTAGACTTTCCTATAACATTTATAAAAACCTCTTCGTATTCTAGTCTAACAAATATTTCGTTGTTCTGAGATCAAAAGACGTTGAAAAGCCTACATAATTTGGCCATATAACTTAAATGTCGTGGTTCCCAACAAATTTCGTCATTGCCAGATTGCCATCATCGTCTCGTCCTAATTGCTGTCCTTCCATTTTACGGCATAATTGTCTCGCCGATCGCTCCAGTCCCCACACCGACACCCCCCCCTCTCCGCCAGGTGTCTGCAGAGCTTGCGCGGCGGGCCTGTGACGCCGCCCGCCTGATGACCGTCTGCCCGCTGCCCCCGCGCGTCCCACTGTCCGTGGCTGTGCGCGCCTGCAGCTGCGCCCACACGCTGCTAGTCGAGGTGGCCCGCTCCTCGCCGGCGCCGGCCGCCCTGGCGACGGCGGCGCTGAACCTGCTGAGAGCAGTGACCCCGCTGGGAGAGCGACTCAGTGAAGAGGAGCGCGCCCGCTGGTCGGCCGTGCTCGGTGAGATTTCCGAGGGGGTGGGAGGGGAATCACTGAATGATCCCCGAAACCCCAACTGTCAATGCGCATATTATTCATATGGTATTGTTCATATGGTAACGGTTCACCGATTTTTCAAACCTCGTTATTATTTGCGAGTCATACGCTGTCATTTCTAGTCAGATGGCAGTTTGCTGCAAGCTTAAACCGCCAATAGTCTCAGTTTCTATCATTAATCCAGAGCAGTCTCAATAAAAGCAGCAACAGAAAACAAGGAAATAACAGCTGTCATTGTATGGAACAGAAGCGTTCTTGCCTTTGATCCCCCCGTATCCTGTCGCATATGTCCGTGTCTGTATTCGTAACCTCTCTACCCGTGATTTCCGGACAGTGACGTTCTCGGGTAATCTGGGCGTGGTGAATATGCGTGCCGGTCACGACGACGAGGGTATGGAGGCGCTGAGCACCTTCCTTGAGTGCGCCGCGGCCGCCGCCGACCCCAGCGAAGTCAAGGTGAGGACGGAAACGACGGAAACGGGAAGGGTAAGGGCAAAACATGGGGGCTGATTGGAGGGAGGTTATGCCGGGTTCATTGGCGCTGCCAGTGACTTCTGCCACGGAATATATAGTCTACGACATATTTATGTCATAGACTATATATTCCGTGCTTATGCTATGCTGCTCATCTAGAAGCTCGCCTAGAAGCTGCTCATATATAAGCTAGCTAACAAAACTAGAGACAGTAGTGGCTAAGGATGACGAACTAGAGGCAGTAGAGGCTAATTAGCATGACTTGTAGACTTTGCGGTCGAGCGTGCCTTACCAGTTTGTGAATGTATCTCTGCCGTCGGGAGGAAAAAAGCCGTAAGTCGCATTTTTATCGATTTTTCGTTTTTGATATCGTTGGAAAGCTCTTTTCATGACGCGTTTAATGGTACTGCTCAAACGTGTGTACACTCAAAAATGAAAATATTATATATAATATAAAAATTCAAAAACGGATTTGTTACATCAGGGATAGCAAAACACGCAGGAAGAAAGCCGTATCCTTAAATTCGGCAGATACGGCATTTATGCAAAATTTCAAACAAAGAATGTGGAACTGATAAGTCAGGAAGAAAGCCGTATCTTGTAGATACGGCTTTTATTTGATGGTGGCCTGTGAAATATGAGCCGAATCGTTGGTCCAGGCAGTTTGGAAGAAAGCCGTATCTACTCATTTAGCATGGCCTCGGCATATCCTGGACGGAACAGTTGAACATTTACACAAACATGCTACGTGATCGCAGCAATATGTGACCATTTATAGGGGAATTTTAATTGAAATAAAATAGGGAGTGAACTTGAGAAGTTTGAAGCCAACAGAACTTTGCCAGCTCGGTGGTGTCAGGAGGGTGCCGGGCATTCAGTATTTTGAAGTGCTAACCAGCCGAGAGCGCCAGTATAATCCGACCGTTCTTTTCCCCAGCTTCGTTTAAAATTGCAATAAAAATACCCGATCTAGCCTCCCCCATGATTAATTTGTCCTCCCTGTCCTCACCCCACCCCAAAACCAAAATAGCATCATGTTAAGTTCGACCCGGTAATCATCATAGACATGCAGCTCGTAACCGGCACGCTTAGTACGACGACCTACAATCTTTGTCGTAAAACCGTTGAAGATATAGTGAAGATATAGTTGAATACCGTGAAAGGTCGATTGCTATTGCCAACCTCGTCACATTCATTGTGATAATTGTGACCACGCCCATGTATCTTTGGGACGTCATCCCCTGTCACTTCCATTCCTGGTCAATGACTTTACCGTCTTCTTTCCGGCTCCCTCATACCCATGATGCTCAATCATATTGGAAATTTAGGCTACCTTGTAGCACCCACACAAGCCCAACATTGTCATATTCTACGGGCAGCTGCCCAGAGCCTACCAGCACAGCTGTGGCCGGTGAAGGATGCAGCAAGGCGTACTGAATAGCCCTCTGCTCTGTTGCAGTAGGCGCTATAATCAGAGCCCTGTGAATACGAGTGCACATGCAGGGGCCTTTTGAGGGTGCGCCCTCTAAAGGGCGTTCCCGCAGACGTGTGGAGCTCTCAGCAGTCTAGCGATTTCCGACAATGAGGCGGAATTTGCTTACACCCTCAGCCGCGGCACAGTGCTGTCGCCCTAGATGTTTCGCACAGGCTTCGTAGATGCAGTTTCTTTACAGGAATTCCTGAAGTTCTACACAATCCTCTATTTTGGTTCAGGAGCCCGGCGGTTCCGTGCTTGTAGCTGCGCACCACGTGACTTAACAGCGTCCCTTTTCCGGGAACCTTGTGTCCAGCTAATCAGCAACATTCCCACTCATCGTCTCTTGCCCCCTTGAAGTGCTTTGAGGTCTGCAGATCGACGATGGGAAACTACACTATCTCGGTTCTCTCGACATTGTCGCCGTGGCTCCGGCGCAGCGGCAGACCGGCACACTCATCTCTCCGAATATATCGGTGGCTCAGAATTAACTCTGGAGTCCAGTGTAATAGAAAATTGAAGCACCGTACAAAGACAGCATTCGTGATTCCCCTGGTCGGTTGCAGGCACGTAGCCAGGATTTTGCTCAAGGATGGGCCACAGGTCGCTGCCTAGTGTCGTGCCCCTCCAGAAAAGGAAAACTCCTCGGATTTGGCCCACTATCTCTTGGGGTGAGGTGCAGCTGTGTTTTTTTTTTATTAAATTTTATTTTATTTTTCGCCTTAAGAGGGGGGCATGACCCCTGTGCCCCCCCCCCCCCTTGGCTACGTCCCTGGTCGGTTGGTCAAGCTGTCTTTTGATGGCACCCTGCACAATCAGAATCCAAGAGCCTAAAGTTACGACAATAATGCGATTATGCATGGATGCTGTAGTTTAAAATGGGTATCATGTTTGTTTTTGTATCGAACGTTCAATTAAATATCCATACTTGAGAGCTGAAGCAGTGGAACGGAACCAGCAGCGGAACTGCTTTAGTTCTTTTATGGACAAATATGTACTGTCAATACAAATGCACCGATGATACTGCTTTTTGACGACAATATGATTAAACAAAAATGGCGATACGGCTTTATTCCCGATCGGTTAACCAATGTATCAGACATACGGCTTTTTTCATGACAGTATTGCTCAGGTGTCTCGTACGATGCGGCTTTCTTCCACGATACGGCTTTTTTCGTGAAAGAAATATTCCGCAAACTCGGGGTTGAATTGGAAGCAAAAAAGTTTTTCGCCTTTTGCTTTTAGGTTAAAATAATTTCCCTTTTATAACCACTTTCATTGGATTTAAAATTTCTTTCAGATCACTGCAGTATGTTTTGTTTCGTTATTGAGCAAAGTTAACGAATTTTATAACAAAAAACGCGTTTTTGCCTCTCCTGAACAATTTTCAATTCGAAAAAGTGCCCCAGATACGGCTTTTTTCCTCCCGACGGCAGATCTCGTTTTTATATTTCTCATCGCCATCTTTGACTGCCTGCCTCACTACCACACCCTTCCCCGTCACCAGTCGTCGAGCGTGGCGAGCAAGACCCAGCTGCTGGTGGACGCCCAGCGCGGCCGGCAGCAGTTCGAGGCGGCGCTGCGCTGCCTGGCGCGCGCCGTGCCGCTGGCCTCCGACCACCTGCCGCAGCTGCTGACCGCCTGGGCCAAGGTCAAACGGGACGCCGCCAGCCGACAGCAGACAGACTGCATGGTGAGGGAGACGGCGACTGGTGGGGGTTTGCTGATTGCTCCACTCTTTGCGTATTGCCATCTTTATGAGGATGGCAATACGCAATGCGATGGTTCGCAGCCAACATATTGGAAGACGAGCAGAAATGATTCTGCATCTACTAGATGGAGTCCGAAATAAGTGTAAAGTAAAGTAAGATGGATCTAACTGCTTGATTTTGACTACTCAAGTAGATTCTGGGATATAAAGGTGCAACGCTGCAGGCATAAGTGTTTTCGTTTGGCCAATCGGGTTATTTAGGCAACCTTATGAGTAGCCAGCAAGGCCAGTAATTTCATGGCAATCCATTTTAGCTGTCATCTGCCGATGCGGCTTCAATCGTCGGTTAATTGCCTTCCTGGCTTTTTTCCATTCATCATTCATCGCGCTGCCGGTGCATCTCCCATTCCCTGACCCATGGCTCTCCCCCGCAGAAGGTGACGCTTCCCCAGCTGATGGCCGATGTGGGCTCTGACCGGCCTCGGCCCGGCGCCGGCGACTCTGCTCCGAGCACTGCCCGCCTGCTGCACCTGGAGGTCAAACACTACCTCAGCGTCAGGTGGGTACCGTAGCCTGTGAGGCGGCCAGACCGCAGACTAGAGTGTGGAGCTTGGCTCAGAGTAGGGATGTCTGTCAGTCACTAACCAGTCTGACGTGTGGGATATGTCGATGTTTTTGTAACCTTTTAAGCAGCTGCCTGTTGGTTGACTCAACATCATTCATTTTTCATATTGCCTAGTGTGTCAACAGCTGGCATAGATAGCAATTCAAATGCCGGGTCCCGATAAAACTCCACGATATATCTACGAGTATGACCGTGCACTGCTCTAGCCATCTAACCCCCCTCCCTCCCCTATCCAGCGGTGACCTGAGTGAGGCGGTGCGCGCGGCGCTGGTCCACTACGGTCAGCTGCAGCTCAGCCCGGCGCAGCGCGCCTGGATGCTGGTCACACGGGCTCAGGTCGGGCTGTGCGGCGCCGAGCAGGCGGCCGACGAGTGCGCAGAGGCGGTCGCCATGCTCGCGGAAAAGGTATGGGACGGGAGTGGGAGAGGAGATCGGGCTTGATATGCGACTTTTTATCTGGGCGTGAATGCAGTTGTTCTCAAACATTATTCCGTTTTATTTCCTTTTTCTCTTTCGTACTGTTGGCTGCAAGGTTTCGATCGGTGGCGTCTGAATCCATTGGGCTCTGACTTATTTTAGTGTCGTTCAGTGACGATGACCACTCTGTCAATGTCAATCATTACACGATCGGTCTATCGTTTCAGATCGGTCAGTCGAAGAAGTCTTCTCTGAGGCTGAACCTCTGCATGGCCAACTACTATCTGTGTATCAACCGGAAGAAAGTCGAGATCCAGGCGGCGAAGGTAGGCAACTCACGTATTTATCGTCTTTTTCATCACTTCACTAGTAGACCATACATATCGTCCGTCATTGATATGTGACTATGAGCCCTGGTTAGGCCCTAGTCTCCGAGGCCACCTCCCATACCTGACCGCGGCGCTAACCCTCGCCCTCCCCGCCTCTCCTCCGTCAGCTGTCGCCGCTGACACAGGTCAGCGGGGGAGGCAGGTCAGCTAACCCTCGCCCTCCCCACCTCTCCTCCGTCAGCTGTCGCCGCTAACACAGGTCAGCCAGCGGCCGTCCGCGCCTGACGACGAGGTCGACCTGGACGCGTCGTGTACCGTGGTGCCTGACTATCTGTCCATCAACCTGGACCGGGAGGCGGCCACCCTGCAGCCCCTGCAGGCCGTCCTCGGACTGGCCGAGAGCCTCTTCGAGACGGTGAGACGATAGTCAGGGTAGAGGTGGGGAGGGGTGATGGATAGGGCGGGGGAATCAAAAGGCCAGAGTACTCGGGGTGCGGATTAGATGGTTGCAGAATACCTGGTTGTTAAGTCATCGGTGGCTCAGTTATATAAAGTGCCCATCATTTTCTGTTTTCTGCAATATACAGTTGTCCGTGTGTAACAGTCTTGGCTCTCATATTATTAGAATGTCTGAGGTTTTTGCAACTTTCTCAAATACGCCAGTCACATTACCCTAAGTTAGCATTCAACGAGATGTGTCTCGACGCTGACAGTGTGTCCAATAAGCAAAGCAGCTCCTGATTTAGCGATTTGATTAGCTCAGGTGCCATTCTCCATTTACATAACGCGCCTTCATTGACCGTTCCCTCTGCCCCCGGCAGACGGGGCCCGACTCTGAGCTGCACCCTGCCACGGACCTGCTGACCGTCTGTCACCCCTCCCCCTCCTCACCCGCAGAAGGGGCCCGAGTCTGAGCTGCACCCGCCCACGGACCTGCTGACCGACCCCCTTCCCTCCCCCCCCCCCCTGCAGAAGGGGCCCGAGTCTGAGCTGCACCCGCCCACGGACCTGCTGACGGCGGTGACCGGTGCCGCTCAGATCTACACGGGACTGGGCTATCAGCTGCAGGCCGCCAGGGCGTGGAGGGCCGTCTACAGGGCCGGACAGCAGCTGAAAGACACCAACGCCTGCATCACAGGTGGGACGGACGGGGAATTATGGAGACTGCTTTTTCCTCAAGATTTCAAACATTTTTTTTTGTGACTTGGAAGTGGATTTGTCCATATAAACGAGAATTATAGTTTGTTGTGTCCATTGCTGACAGTTGTATCGGCTTGTTACGGGTTTGTGGTGTGTGCTCGCAAGTAGAGTGATCAATGCGAACTAGGATTATTGAGCGCATCTGGTCCGCTCATTGCGTAGCCGAGTGGGGAATGGGTAGACGCGTCGGGGGCCCCATATTGCCTCGTTTGCTTTGAGCTGATAGATTTGCAACTTTCTCAAATACGCCAGTCACATTACCCTACTAGCATTCAACGAGATGTGTCTCGACGCTGTATCGCGTATGTATCGCGCTACTCTCGTGCTACCTAAGTAATTAATCTGACGGCGCTGTGTCTGACTGTGGTCGTCCGTCTCCAGCGGCCTCTGAGCTATGGTGCTATGTGAGCACACACTGATGTGTGGCCGTGTGACGGTGCTGTCAGTCTGACGTTGCTGTTCTCCGCCCCCAGCCGCTTCTGAGCTGCTCCAGTCGAACCTGTGGCCGGAGGAGGAGGACCTGACTCCGGTGGAGGTGGCCGTCAGCGCCTCCTCCGACCGACTGGTCGTCCTCCGCTGGACGCTGGCCAAGGCCTGGGGGCACTACCACCTGCAGCAGGTCAGTACAGGGGCACTACCACCTGCAGCAGGTCAGTACAGGGGCACTACCACCTGCAGCAGGTCAGTACAGGGGGGCTACCACCTGCAGCAGGTCAGTACAGGGGCAGACTACCACCTGCAGCAGGTCAGTACAGGCCACATTTTGGGCGGTATCGACTGAGCTGCACCGAGACGGGAAATGCAGTACTAAAATGTGTGGTGAATCGAGAAATGCAAGCATGCGAATGCAATCCGTTACATCTGATTTGCACAACATTCCCGTAATTATGGATCGATTTCGTTGTACCTATTTGTTGTCACTCGATCCTATGTGGCTATTTTGGATAGCATTGCATCAAAGGTAGCGGCCCCCGGTGTTTTTCTTCTCGCCGCGCCCTCCCGTCTGACCCCCCCGGCCCCTCCCCTGTCCGCTCTCAGGTGTCGTCGGCGCTGCCGCTGCTGGACTCTGTGCTGGAGGACCCGGCACTGCTCACCCGCAGTATCCCCTATTTCCGGGTGGCCGCCGAGGCGTACCGGCTGGCCTCTCTGTGCGCCTGCGTACCGTCCAGCCGCGGCACCAACACACTGGAGATGGCCGGCGTGGCGGCCTTCCACGGCGCCTGCGTCAGCGCCTGGCTGGCGGCCGACAAACCCAGTACGTGAGCGGGACTGGCGGGGCGGGAGGTGGCCGTGGGACAAACCTGGTGGGTGAGCGGGGCTGACGGGACCGGCGGGTGGGGACGACAAACCCAGTACGTGAGCGGGACTGACGGGACCGGCGGGTGGTGAAGACAAACCCGTTGGGTGAGCGGAGATCAGCAGTCGGCACTGCCGGCTGAGCGGGTGGGTGAGAGGGGAAGGGGCGAGACGGCGGTGGCAGGACTCGACCGAGTGTTACACTGTGTGCTACACGCAGAAACAGATCGGGTGGTTTCGGTCAGCGCGGGATAGACGCCAACAGTGCTGGAAGACGAGGATCGCAATGTCATGAACTCTTAGTACATCGGATGTGGGGATGATCTGGATCAGTCACCCTATTGCTGTGACATATTGCGACATTCTTCCGGGCAACTTCGTGACCAATATTAGCCAAGTTTGTCTCTTACTGGCGTGCCGGTGTTCTGTCATTCTGAGGATATCATTTTCGAAAAGTTTGTCGTATGTAGGCGCCGCATGTGGTATATGAGTGTTTCATAGTCTGATCGTTTTATTCTGGCTTGTACTCGCGCGGTGTTAGATTGATATCTTTTCTTAGAACAGCAGCGTTATACGCTATTAGCTGCGTTGTTTTCAATGGCTGCCCATTGATCGCTCCATTGACTCGGCGCCCTGTCCGCTCCCCAACAGCCTGTCTGGCGGAGCACCTGTACGCGCTGGGCCTGGTGTTTGACGCCGTCCGTCACGTGGGCGCCGTCCTCACGTGGATGCACTGCCCGCGCGAGGTGCGCAGCTACGTCCGAGACCAGATGGAGGCCGCGTACAGAGTGGCCGCAGCGCTCAGGTAGGGTCGGCGGTCGCTGGGAGGGTGGCCTCGGCTAGGATGGAGGCCGCCGTGACTGCTGGAGCTAGTGAGGTGTGAATGTCGGGTGATCGCGTGGCGCGTAGTTGATGGAGTAGGTAAACTAAAAGATGTGACGTAGATGTGTCCTCCGATGAGCAAGCTCCTGCGTATATATTCTGCGGTCGATTGTTTAACGATATTATCTGTTGTATATACCTATCGAGTTTCATAATTGCTATGAAAAGAAAGACTTTGAAAACTGTGTATTTATTTAAACTGTGTATATAAACTGTGTATTTATTGTTATGTAACGCTGCCGCGTTCATTTTCTTTGCGGACGCCGGCTCCCGGCCGCGGCACACCGACCCACAATATCAGCCGGGACGGGGCCAGGCGCAGAGGAGGGCAGCTGCGAAAACCCAACACATTTAGGCCGTGGGAGGGGAAGCGTGTCACCCGCTCCCACCCTAATCTTCAAAGCGTGAGCGGCCGGCTTTGCAGTCTGGCGCCCGACTCTTTTCATAAACAGAGTCATCAGTCGTCCGCCGGCCGACCCCAGCCACCTGCGTGCGCCGCACAGGGCACAGAGGTCCGGCTCTCTCATCTGTCCAGGCCCGGCTCTCTCACGGCAGCTGACATCCAAAAATAACTGGCAATGCCACTGATGACCGTCCGACGACCATGGGAAAATTCTGACCGAACTCAACACAAGAGTATTCTGAAAGGGTAGCACATGGCAGCGCCACGTTCGATTAAATCGCTGCAGCTGCGCCCCTGACACGGAACACAAGGGCAGTTTTGAAGCAAACACATCTATTTTCGAAGCTGAACAGACGAAATGGCATGCCACTGGCCCAAACCTGCGCCCCATCAGAGACACGGGACCGCCTGGAAATCACGCAGCGGCAGGAACATAATGCCAGGGCACACCTGCGTTGGCAAAGCTCTCCCTGGGAAAGGGGTCGCCTTTCGATCCCCTTCCCCAAACCCCACCAGACGGCCGGCGTCGGCTTCAGTTGACCCGGACACGCGTGCCATTCAAAAACACGCGATCACCTGGAAGGCACGCAGTGGCAGGAGCATAACACCAGGAACCGTCACTGGGCAAGCAGGGCGCAGCTGTTTTCGGCACCGGCCGCCGTGCGAAATGGGTCATCTCTCGGCTCCCACACCTCTCCCCCCCCACCAGACGGCCGGCGTCAGCCTGCCATCACTATCGGCGTGGAGGGCACGTCTGGCAGGGCGGACATCGGGGGAGAGGGGGAGCTAAAGGAAGAAAAATATTGCTATTTCAGGCAGCTCGGAATTGATCAAGGACTTCGCCGAATTCCGGGACGTGGAGCACCATTATACGGTGACCCATATGCAGCTGGACCGCCTCTCCCCATCCTCAGCGACCGGCATCAGGGGTGCGTCTGAGGCTCGAATGGAAGATGGAAATGTGGGCGGAGCCACGACACCATGGCAGCTGGCCCTGAGGTTACATTTTCGTGGGAAGGGGTGGGAGCTTATGAGTTCCCACCTATCAGAGCAAGGGAAATTCGAAATAGGAGGAGCACCATCGAAGACAAAATATCACCATGACTACGGCCCGCCGGAGGGCACGCTGCAAAAGTTGGACGATTCAGAGCTCAAATCCAGGGTCAAACTGATGGAAACATGAACCTTTTTGGCAAGAAATACAACCGATATCGACAGAAAAGGGGCGGAGCGAAGTTGAGGATTCAGAGGATGGCCCGAGGAGGCGGCGAGAGGGATACAAAAAGGGCAGAAAAGAGAGAGGAGGGGCCTCAGGACAACAAGGACAGACAGAGACAGTGGAGCACAGTTCAGTCGGTGGTGACGCAAGAGGTGGACGGGTCGGCGCCGTCTGGCGCCTGCCCTCATCTCTATCTCTCCGGTCATGGCCAGCTTCCCGCCGCCGGCTCGACGACCCAGAGGGCTGACGCCAGTAAACAAGTAAGTCCCTGCACGGGAGCCAAGACCTGCTCGCCGGTCACATTCGCAGTCTGCGCCGGCGGTACCACGCCTCGTCTGCTCGTCTCAATCTCTCGTCATTCAACGGTCAGCTCAGCGCCACCCAGTCAGCCATTGTATCAAATTTGGCACCCAGCACCAAAAGGTTAGCACTGGTGGCACAAGTCTGCTCAGCCCATCTTTTCCTTATCATGTGCCCTGTTTGCCGCCTTGGTCTCTCTCTCTCCCTGAGGTGATTAATCCGGCCTTATTGGTTACTGATGGATCTGATTAGAGGGGACAGTAGAATAGGTGTGAGTGTATGTGAGTGTGGTGTGTGGGGATAATCGATGGGTTCATTAGCAGGGTCACAGGGGGGGCGTGCCCTGACACCTGGCACTGTGGCGTGGCGTCGTGGTCGGGCTCTGCTCCGCTCATCAGAGGTGCTCCCCGGGTTAATCTCTGAAGGGGGAGGGTAATGCTTTCTGCCTGCGCAGTGCGCATGTTAATTATCTGACTGGCCTATCGTCCGGCTTCCGGGTTTGATTACACTTTGTTACCTTGGTTTGCCATTCGTGCCACTAGCTCTTAGGGAAATAGGTTATTAGCGCTGTTATCTTAAATTTGATATCAATTTCTGTTTAGAATTGGTCGGTGTAAAGTCTTTGGCTAATTTGATCTCTCCGCTTTTGTGAATAAACCGGGGATAGTGGAACGATTCTTTCAGAGTTAATTGGGAAATGAGATCACAAATGGGGAGCGATCGGGAAGTTTAAACACGTTTATGGCGGGGCCGGGACACTTCGGTGGGCATTGCAGGTGACAAGACTGGGGGAATATCGTGTGGGTCTCAACGGGATACACAATGGGTCCACTAATCACGAGGATTCCGGCGGCGCAAGTGATTTGTCTCACGTCAGCGTCTGTGCTAGCGGTGCGGCTGAACCGGCCGGCCGATCGGCTGATCACTGATGGCGTACAGTTTGGTGAAGGCGGTTCCGTAGCTAAGTTTCCCAGCAATTAAATCTCCTCAGTCTGTTTGTTTTTTTTTCAGTTAATTCTTTACCTCGTTGCAAAATATCGTCAGTCCATTATCGTCATTTACCGGCCTTCATTTCGGATATCTCAGGTTAATTTCGGTATAGAATCAGTAGCTCACACCTCAGACTTATCTGATCAGCTAATAATTTGTTTTATGCAGCATCTGTTAGGTACCTACTTATTTTCAAATACTTTGAAATAACATACGTGCCATGACGCTGTACTTTGTGTTTTGCCGTTTCTTTGTTAAGCTTTTAAAAACGTAAGTGAAATGGACGTGCTTATGGTTAAATTTTAACTGTTATTATGGTTCGGTCTCCAAAGTAAAGTAGAACCTTTGATGGGAAGCAATCCGACTTGTCCTTATAATTCATGAATAGCTCGATATCGCCTCGATCGACTTACAGAATTGCTTTGCGTTCAGATTCCTTACGACACGATAAAATGCAGTAGTACGCTACACATTTATATCATTAGCTGTCCTGGTGATTAAGTGATAGGATTATCCAAGGAAAGAATAGGAACAATCGCGTGCCATTAATCACTCAACCCGCGGCCGGGTGGCGACGGTCAGCTGCGCTCTCGGAAGGAATGCGGGGGGCGGTCTGCCGCATGGGAAGGGATCAGACGGCCCGGGCGGAGCAGCGGATTAGCGAGTCGGAGCGGGACGGCCGGCCGGGCGCGCGTCGGGAGCGTGTCGGGGTCGTGCCAGGTCAGTGACAAGCAATTACGCTGTCAAAGAACGATTGAGCATGGACTTTTGTTTGTAAAGGAGATCAATGCGGTTAGTTGTTCAAGACACTGAAGTTGATCCATTTTTACAGTGCATTCAAGTATGCGTGTAAATAATCGACACCGCCACCTTCCCAACTGTGGTCCTCGTCAAGTCGATCGATAAGTCGTCGGCCTGTCTGTCTGTCTGTCTGTCTGTCTGCCTGTCTGTCTGTCTGCCTGTCTGTCTGTCTCTCTGTCAGCCCATCTGTCTGTCGGTCTGGCCTGTCAGTCTGTCGGTCTGCCGGTCTGTCTGTTTGTCTGCCTGTCTGCCTGGCTGTTTGCTAGTCCGACGGTCGATCAGTCCGTCGGTCAGTCCGCCGGTGGTTTAGTCACCTGTTGGTCGGTCAATCATGTCGGTCTGCCAGCCCGTTCGTCTGTTTATTCGTCAGATTGCACGCCATCCAGTCGGTGAGAGAGTCGACCTGTCTCGCTAGCCACCCCGTCGGTTTGTCGGTCCAATTGTCTGCACGTCCTTCTGTCAAATGGGTTAGATTGTCGGTCCGTGGATTTGTCAAAATGTCGGTCGGTGCGTCTGGCGACCGTCCATGAATGTCTGGTTGTCTGTTACCCCTTCCCCGTAGTTAGCCCTTCCCTAAAAACGCTCACATCATCCACTTCCCTCGTCTCTCTCTCTCTCTCTCTCTCTCTCTCTCTCTCTCTCTCTCTCTCTCTCTCTCTCTCTCTCTCTCTCTCTCTCTCTCTCTCTCTCTCTCTCTCTCTCTCTTTCTCTCTCTCTCCTTCTCTTTCTCTCTCTTCCCTGTCTCTCTCTCTCTCTCTCTCTCTCTCTCTCTCTCTCTCTCTCTCTCTCTCTCTCTCTCTCTCTCTCTCTCTATCTCTCTTTCCTTTATCTTTCGTCTTCCCATTCATTTTGCCCGGAAAGGTTCCCCCATTGCGGGTGGTGTCGATTGTGTATATAACACGGGAGGAAACACAATTGTAAACGATCAGTACGACAGGTGTCCAGCGCGCCGCACTCATAATAGCATGTCGCCGCGGTAGACGGAAGCGGTCCCCGCAGTCGAGCAGAAACCGCGCCGGGCCGGCGCCCGCCCCGATAATCCTCACCATCCGCTCGGTTCGCGGCGGGGTCAGGGTCATTAGCGCATACCAGCCGACCGGCGCCGGGACAGGGTACATCGCCGTCTGGTCGGGGAGACCACAAGAGGGGAACAGCGGACGGCCGTGCCGTATGGACGGCTAGTGCCTCCGGTCCAGTTAGCCCGCTGCCGAGCTCGCTGCCGAGCTGGCCGACCGAGTTGACGGGTGGTCCAGTGCGACGGTCACCCCTGCATGACGTCACCATGGCCTGGACGGCGCACGGCACCACCGGTCGTCCCCAAATATGCTCTGCGCGCCACCCCGTGGCGCAATAGAGCATCACTCCTTCCTGAAGACGGTCCAGAGGGCCATCCTATACAGACTGGCATGGCGCCCCGCGCCATTCTCAAGCAGAAGGCAGCCGCCCGACCCCAGCGAGCGGTCATTAAGGAGGATTAACTGCCAGCGGGGAGCAGAGTCGTCCCAGAGGGGCGGCGGTGGTGCGTTATGGGCAGCTACTGGTTCTATCCCAGTAAAGGGCTGCAAAGCTCACTGCAGATCACTGCAGAACTGACTGATCGCTGTCAGGGGCGTGACGTCTGCCCTCAGGCAATGTGAGAGGAGATGTTGTCGATCGGTGCCCTCCGGGGCCATGCAGGCCGCTCTACTTGTGCACTTGACGGGTGCTATAGCCCCGGTCCACGTAGGCTCACCCGGACCGCGCCCACTATTCAGGGTGACTGAGAAACACATGGTGATCATCCTCGTGACGTCATGGGCCTAATGCCAACAGCGCCCTCAGATGAGTGACGTCATAGGCCCGGAGCCCTCAGTACGTCGGGCTGGTCATGCCATTCATATTCATTTACATTGGAGAGTAGGAAAAGGACTCGTATGGAACCTTTGATGACGTCATCGGAACTATTCTTGCCGTGACCATCGATGAGTGACGTCATTGACACAGGACTCTCGACATGCCGGGGCAGGGTGCACCATTCATACGCGCGCGCTTCTGAGAACAGTAAAAGTCTCATTCCGACCCTTTGATGACGTCATTGATTATAGTTCGAAACCCGGTTCGGCGACCGATGTGCGTAGGGCCCTGCTTTCTTAGATTCTGTGTCGGCAGCAGTGGTAATTTCAGTATGTTAAAGGAAATAGTTCACTTTCACGAAATTATTTTTTTTGCAATGGATTTATGATTTTTTATGTTCAAAATGATCAGCAAAGAAAATAAAACCTATTTATAACAAAAGATTATTTTCTATATTTTGATATAAGAAGAACTTTTCAGTTTCTGTAAGGCACAGGCGATCCAGTATGAAAAGAGCATGGGTTCCGAAAATTCTTCAGAAACTAGAGAAATTATCGCGGCCACCGGCATTTGGGCGATCTGCTGCTGCTGAATGTCCTTATTGATCAGTACGAGAATTTCTCTTGAGTTCTCGTAGATAATTTCACTAGTTTCTGAAGAATTTTCGGGACCCATGCTCTTTTCATACTGGATGCGAATATATGCAAGGCACACATCCTCAACGCAATACACCTTTTTCGGGACGAGAAATAGAATATCTTTGCCTAGGGTGATCGTTGGGCTGTAAAAGCTCCTGATTTATGCTCGTCTCAGCCCAAGCTACGGAACTGCTATTCCAGTTCAAAACCCATGTTAAAAAGTGAACTATTTCCTTTAAGGGCGAACATGGTCGTAGTTTTTTTATGTTTTTTTTTTTTTTTTAAGGATGGGATACTCTAGGAGGGATTACGAGCTAAGTATAGGATAAAGGATACAGATATGGGATACATTGGTTGGCGTAACGTTTAGGGGCTGCGAGGCTGTCTATGCATGTGACACCCCTGTGTGTGATAAGCCCACCGACGCGACTACTTCACTGATGAGAGATGGGAGTGGGGAGGAGAGTTTAAATTAAGCTATTGAATGTCTAAACTATGGTAAATGTATGTCAGTGCTCGTTTAAGTTGGTATCGAATCAGAACGAGATTACAGTTCACAGGGAAGGTTATAGAGAGCCAAGGTAGTAAAAGGGTAGGAAGGCCGGACTAATGGAGGGTACAGGTCAGGTACGAGTAAGGCCACCGGGAGGTCAGGACGTTGGATTTCTGGGCCAAGAGGAGGTCGGGAAGTTACGGTTACAATTCAGGGGTATGAGACGAGGAAGTAGTAAATTTGGTTATTGGGTGCTGGACACTAAGGAGGTCGGCTCTGTGGGCTTGTTTCGCAGGTTCTCCGTCCTTAGGTAGTTAGATATAGATAATTTCGTTTACTTAATTATTTTGTGCGCGTTTTACTCTGAGTCATTTCGAGGCAAACGTATTTCGGGCAAAGGTTCAACATCATTCCGTAGACAGTGACGACGACCCAAGTGACTCAAACAACATGCTCTTACGTTTGAATGATCTGGCTCGTCAAATGCCCCTCTGGATGTTTCTACGGCGTAAGTCGGGCAAAATAAATAGCCGTGTCTCGGTCATGGCTAAGACCCATATGATTTATAAGTCCTGATGACTCAGGCGGGAACCGGTGGGGTGTGACGGAGCATTCACGATGAGTGTACAGGCCGTCGCACCACCTGGCTTTGGGGAGGTGCCAGAACGGTGCCTTTCAGATCTTATATCTCCCCAATGACCAGTTCAGAGGGACACAGAAAGTGTTGCTCGATTACGGGAGGTTCTCATGCATGAATGTTCGATTCAGGGTGTGAGTTTTCCCCGGTATTGCGTGAGGGCACAGCGTCTCACGAACGTGGATTGTCGCGGAGAGAGCCACCGTACGGGATTGTTCACCCGTTCGTCAACATTCCGGCCGCCGGAGTGGTTCTAAAGCGAGGGTCGATCGGCATGGATCGGTATACCCCTCAGGCAGGAAGCATTCCACCCGCCTTTAACTCCCCACTCCGGTATCAAAAAGTTAGGTTATACCCGGCGTATTCTGCCGAACGGGGTCCACCGCAGGAGCCCTTTCACCAGCAGATCACGAGAACGGATTTGGTTAGGACCTGGTCACGCTGAAAATTATTGTGCACGGATAGCGCAGGAAAGCGCGGGAAGGTAAACAGGGAGGGGCCAGTTTAGCGACCTGGTGTTTTAATTTGTATGAAAGGAAAGCGTGCATGATGGTGTGAATGTGAGCATGAATGGTTATATCCAGTGGGAGGCGCCCCTCTGTGCAGTTAATGGAAGTTTGTAATGTAATGTACTTTTGTTTATTTTAATCCTTTGATCGGGAAGAGAGATTTATCAGGGTAACCTTGTCAGAAATCCTTTTTTTTTGCATTCCAACTTAACCCCATTGCCCACTCCATCAGTGTAGCAGTCTATGTGTCCGCCAGTGACTGACCAGCCTCGCAAATCAAACAAACAAATAATTATCTTGCAGCCGAGCCCCGCTACAGTTACAATCGCTGAGTGTGTCGTCTTTCTGTGTGCAGGACGGCCGAGTTTCTGTCGCAGCTGATCGAGGCAGACCTTCTCTGTGAGGACGGCGAGGACACCCAGATCAAGCTGAACTCACTGCGGCACATCGTGCTGGACGCTCCGTCCGCGCGGCGTCAGAAGCAGCCGGTCCTGCTGGCCGCCGACACGCCGCCGGCGCCGCCCACGGTGGCGTCCTCGCGGGGCCGGCGGCGCCGCAGTCCAGCGCCACCCGCCGCGCCGGCCGCGCCCGAGCCGCCGCCGCCGCCGCCGCCCGAGAGCGGCCGCGACCTGGCCGTGTCGGTCGGCTCGGTAGGCTCGCCGCTGGGCCGGGACGCGCGCTGGCTGCAGCGCGAGCCGCGCTGCACGTCGCCGCGGCTGCGGCGCGCGCGCTTCAGTGCGCCGGCGCCGCTGAACCACCCGGCCGGCTGCGGGTGCGCGGCGTGCGCCTGTCCGCGCCGCCTGCTGCTGCTCTTCTCGCTCAGCCTGCAGACGGCGCGCGCCGCCGTGGTGCAGGATGACGTCGACCAGGCGCTGGAGTTTTGCGCAGGGGCCGACGAGTGCTACCCGCTGCTCGAGGAAAAGGTCGGTGAATTTTGTGGGGTGGAATCAGCACTGGGATGGTGGGGTTTGTTACATATGATTGCACTCTCGGTAACATGTGTGGTTGTCTTGCCAATGCGATTGATAAGACAAATCTCGAGCCGACACAGAGTCGGTCACTGTCTGTGTCCTGCCATCACCTAACCTTCTCACCCGCGTCTCTGTGACCTTCCAGATGCGCCGAGCGGCCGTCTCGTGCCTGGGCCAGCTGCGGCCGCGGCAGCTGGACGGCCTCCTGGAGCCGGGCCGGGTGCTGCGCTGCCGCGGACGTCTAGCGCACGCCGCCATCTGCCTGTGGTTCTCCCGGGCGCGACTGGCGCAGCACGTCAACCGCAAGGCGCTGGGCGTGCTCCAGCAGAGCTCCAGCAGGACCCAGGTCAGAGCGGCGGCAGGAGGGCCGACTGCCGGCGGCAGGACCCAGGTCAGAGCGGCGGCAGGAGGGCCGACTGGCGGCGGCAGGAGGGCCGACTGGCGGCGGCAGGAGGGCCGACTGGCGGCGAGGTGGCCGGAGGACGGGAGGAAGACTGACCTTGAATGTTTAAGACGTTGGCACTTATGTTTGAACAATAACCATTAGTAAACGCATACGTTAACGGATTTGATGATTTTCTTTTTTCAGCTGGTATCGCGGCACATGTACTTGCTGACAGAAATTTGGAACCAGAAGCTTCTGATCGATAAAGTTTTGAGCGAAGAAGAGGATGATGAGTTGGCGACGATTAGTAGAGGTGAGAAAAACCTTTGGTTTGGTTGGTCGGACAAGATAACAGTTGAGACGAGGACTTGTCCCTTTTGGAGCTTTTCAGCACGGTCCAGCTCTCATAGTGCTTCACTGATGGTATTTTGCGTTGAAGTGTCACTAGACGCCTCTCGTCTATACCTGTGCGGATTTCCGTGTCCCCAGCCCGGCGTCTGACCGGTGGCCCGCTCCCCGCTCCGTTCGCTGCTCAGGTATGGACCAGCTGACGACCACCGACAGTCCGGCGGACGAGGAGGTCTCCCCGGGCCGGCGGACTCCCACGCCGGCCGCGCCGCCGGAGCCGCCCGCCGAGCCGCCGCGCCGGCCGGTCAAGCGGGCGGGCCGGGTCCGCACGGTGCCCGCGCCCGTGCCGCCCCCGCCCACACCACCGAGCCCGCGGCTGGTGCGCAGCACGCGCCGCCGGGCGGCCGCCGTGCGCTCCGAGATCCAGGAGTGTCCGCCGCCGCCGCCAGCGCTGGACGACACGGCTGCGACCCCGGCCAAGGAGCCGGCGCCGCGCGCTACCCGCGCCCGCCGCCGGCCCCGCTGAGCGGCGGGGGGAGACAGGGGACAGCAGACACTGGACAGTGCCGGGAGCGGGCGGCGCTCCGTCACTGCAGAGGTCGGGAGGCTCGGAGACCGAGGTCCGACACTGCGCCCGTGGCTCCGACAGGCTGCGGTCGCCGGTCGGTAGCCGCCGATTGTGAGGCACTATAGAGTGGCAAGGCGTCAGGATCGTACGTCCTAGGATTGTTCAGTAGCTAGATCAAATGTCGTGTCAAGCCATATCAGCGGGTACCTGGGTTGATATCGATTCATAGTTTGTGATTCGCTGTGCTCTGTACTGCGATTGATGATGTAATCATTACGTAAAGCCGATCAATAGATTTTCAATGTGAGGTCCAACCAGTACAGCGACACTTATCAAACGTCCTTTCACGCGTTTGGCTTCCTGACGGCCGGTGAACTAGTGCCTTATCATCAGCTGTGACCTAGGATGGTAGGCATGCTCATTTACACTAATGCACACTTTCCATCTTCCTGTGCCCGTCTAATCACCAACACAGTGTGAGGTTACCGTAGCAGTACAAATGAAATGTGTTCATTGGTCATGCCCTGCCGTCCTATGGCCTGCGTCGTATGCCCGCATAGCGAAGGTTGTCATGTTTTACGTCAGATGTGCCCGAAATACACTCATTAAAACAATGTCCGTTTGATGAATTGTTCGAGATAACAATGTGGCATGTGGTAAGACGGAGCAAAGTTTTTCGTCATTTTGAATAGACTTTGAAGTAAAACGGCGAACTCACCGTTTTTTTTTTTCGCTTTTTATTTCTCTAAGCATACAACAGCTGGGTCGGAGCTGTATAACAGTTCCGACAAATCTTATAGCATACTGCATAACACTTTCTTTCTTGGCGGGAGACCATATCACAGTATCGAATGAAACAAAGTACACAGTACGCGGTGCTCCACGTCACTACGCGCCTGTTGGTGCCGATGTATCAACACACCACCCGGGTGCCCAGCATAGAGTCTACTAATGACTACAAACCAAACACGGCTGATACATCTCAACTGCTGGGGTTGCGAGAACGAGAAATGAATCCCGCATATCTGCGCTTACAAACAGGATCACTTCTCGACTGTCTGAAGTAGAAGGCAGCACAAGTCGCTCGGGTCGTGGCCCGGCGTCGGTCGGCGCGGCTCAGACGTGCGGCAGGCGGTGGCTGACGCTCTGCTGGGCGGCCAGCCACAGCTCCAGCAGCCGGCTCGGGTCGCCGCTCCACGCCTCCACGCGCTCCAGCAGGGTGCGCAGCCGAGACACCACGTGGCTGGGTATGCGCACCGTGTCGGTGGCCGGCTGCGCGGGCAGGCGACGGCGCAGCGCGCGCAGCAGCCGCAGCAGCACCGACAGCCGCTCGCAGCTGACGGTGATGAGCGTGGCGCCGGCGGGCTCGGAGGCGGCCAGCCGGACCGGCCAGCCCCAGAGGCGGCCCTCGGCGGCCAGCGGCGCCGCCTCGCCGGGCCGGCAGCGGCTGTCGCGCAGCACGGCCGCCAGCCAGTCGGAGGCCGTCACCGACGGCAGCACGGAGACGCCCAGCTCCAGCGGCGGCAGCGGCACCGGCTCGGCGTCCGGCGGCAGCAGCTCGGTCATCCAGGGCGGCACCTCCGCCGGCGCCGGCACCCGGCTGACCGCCGAGGGCGGCTCCAGCGCGTGCAGGGCGTCCACTGTGGCGGTGAAGACGGGCAGCGCCATCACAGCCGTCCGCTCCGTCCCCGGGTCAGCGTCCGAGGCCAAATCAGCGTCCGAGGCCGGGTCGGCAGCAGCAGCAGTCGGCGCGTCACTCCCGGCCGAGGCCGCGTCGGCAGGCATCTCATCATCCACGTATGAGGTCGGCACGACAAACATCAGGCTGCATGTCACTATCGTCGAGCTCTCGTGCAGAGGGCGAATGCGAACGCTGAAGTCGAGCGTTTCACCATGTTTCCAGGGCTTGTTCAGACACCAGGAATGGTAGAACTTGTGGTTTTCATCATCCGGAGAGCACAGATCGAAGATGATACGCCAAAAGTCTTGGTGAAAAGTGTTGTTGCACTTGTTTTTCAGTTTTATTTTAGCATAATGCCAGTCAGCATCTTCTTCATAAGCTACTTCATGCTTGAAAAGTTTAGCAAGGCATGTGTCTCCCAGATTGACAGCTAGAGATATCTGAGAGAAAAATCGTTTTTGAAACTCAGTGATTTCATTCAGTTTCTGTAGTTCTTCAACATACTGCTGAATCTTTGCTTCAGAATCCAATGCCATATCTTTCTCCACTCTCCAGTATGGCAGATAGCTGAAAAGGGTTGGCGGCAGGTAAATAAAATATAGAGAAACTGAAATGTTTGTTAACCACTAGTCCAAAAGACTGTAGTGCAAACTTCTGAAAAATACTCTTGCTGTGTCCAAATACATCCACAACATGTTGAAAAGTCAAAACAAGCTTAATTTGATGGATGCCTTATTCCCTATGCAAAGATAAGTAAGGCTAAAATTGATATTGACGTCCATTTAATATAATAATAGCTTATTACCTAAGATCCTACTCTCCACTTCAACTTAATAATTTTATGTGCTCTTTTAGTTTCCCACAGCATATAAGACCACACGCTTTTAAAATTACTAACTGAAACCACATTGACATTGCTACCTTTTTGTGATCTAGCTTTTTGGATTGAATCAAAGGCATGCATTGGATAGGTTCCGCAAGGCTAAGTCGAAACATCCTTATAATTTCTGCCTGTCATTTCCAGCAACTGCATACCTAATGTAGCAGTTCAAAAATTGCCAGATTTTAGTTACTTTTTAGTTTTTCAGCTATGGTCGAGGCATCAGCTTTTTTCACTTGACCCAGTCCCAGATGGAACATACTTGCTTCAGATTTTTTTTAGTAAAAATAATCCAAGCCTTGAAGGCTGGACAAAAAGGGCTGACAGGTCTATTAATAATTTTACTGGAAGCAACAGTGACAGCAAGTTTCAGCTTTGGTTTGAGGTGGTTTTGCTGGCATGTTTTGAATAGACAGATGATGATTCATCTGTCAAAGCTTTGGATTGCTTTGGATTGCCAAAGCAAGTTTGCTACATGCATCAATTAAAATTAACATGTGGAGTATTCAACCACAACAAACTAATAACACAAGAATAGCAAAGCATTTATCACTTATTATTGCTGGTTTGAGTTGTAAATAACAAACAAACAAATGCCCAAAATCTTTCATATTGCGCGCTTTTAGTCTGTTCGATTGTAGACCCAAGCTTCAGGTCTCCTAGCAACAGGCAGTCACTAGGGTAGCCTTTGAGAATACTGCACAAAACGTTGCTAGGCAACCCAATTAAGCCACTGACTTTTCTGTTTCTGAACGAATTATAAATGCCTAGCCCGCGTCGTAAATGATTTAAAGCAAAACAGTTTTATTTGAGATATTTGTTCATTCTCACAAATCTCTCAGTATCTTGGATTTAAACTTATATGAATGAAAACTAATGAATATTTTTCTGCATTATTTTTGTTCCAAAATTAGTTGCATGTTTGGCTAGCTTCATTCGAGCATTCTTTACTTTCTCTCAACTCTCCGTCTATGCTCACGTACTACTGCTTACAAACTTGTCGCTAGATGGCAGTAAAAGCAAACGCCTGTAACTATGCTGTACCGCATAGCCCATTACCAGACCATGAAATGGCGTTTCCGGAGCCAATATCTCTCACGATTTTAAGGAAACCTCTTCCGCAGCGCACGTTGAAATTGATAATTTTCATAATAAATGAAATTGATAACAAATGCCTGTCCCGTAGCTCAGTTGGTAGAGCACCGGACTCCCGGTAGTGAGAGCCCGGGTTCGAGTCGCTCCGGCGCTCGACATTTGAGACTCCTGACGGGGATGGTCTGCGGTTGGTTTGGTGGGAGCAGCCGCAGCCAGTTGAAGACAGTTGAGTGGGACAGGCCGTGTCCGGCCATGAAGGGCACGTTAAACTTTGGCATCTAAATTCTCCCGTTACCCGGAATTGCGCGATCGGGCGGTAGGAGTCGGGGTCTACGCAACAAGCTCTGCTTAGCGTGGGCCTCGGCTCTGTCAGTCCGTCCATTCAAACATTCGACCAAATTTATTAAAAAAATATGAGGCTGTGGGTGATTGGGTAGTGATCCAGATTCCAGTGTATCAAACCTAACCGTTTGTCATCGATCTCTGTGGCCTGTGCGCCGCGTTACTAAGACACAGCTGACAGTTGACACTAGGGCCACCCTATGCAAATGTTGAGTAAGGACTTGTTTGGAGTTCAAACGTCGAGTGCTTAGTTGCAAGAGCATTTGCTTACATTTACGTCGTGTATGTATGGTGAACGGATTGTACGCCAAAAAGTGTTCATGTGCTGCCTGTATGACAGTTGAGACAAACAAAACTTATAATAGGTACTGTTTATAATATGTAAGTCGACTACGTCTACAGCGGAGGTAATTCGACCCGATCACAGAGGCATTCAGCTTAAATGTCTCTACAGGGCTTCGAGATTGTTGTATAACCTCATATCAGTAATTTTAGTAGGAATATGAACTACACCCATGCACAGGCTTCTTAGTTTGCTACGGATGAGATGGGAGAATAACGTTGCTAGTTACGCCTGAATATATGATCTCTATAAACGCAAGGAGGGGATTGGAAGATATCATTTCTTCGTTGCTCAGTGCTTAATGCTTATACGGCGTCATGAGTAAAGATAACATTCAGATAATTATCAACTGTCTGTTAAAAGGGTAGAGTGGGGCAACGTCCAAGCCGAGTCAAAGCCCACCCCTTTTATACTTATATGAAATGCTCGAAATTCTATCAAATCCTTGACAGCCATTAACCCATTTTTAAGAATGAAGATGGTTTTACTTGCACTTCCTTTTTCGAATTTCTAGGTGAGAAGTTGTGGACGTAAGACAAGAAACTAAGTGTTCGATATCTTTTTTTAAGCATATATTCTTAATATATGCTTAAAAAAGTAGGTATGTATCGAAGCTGCTGAAGCTTCGATACATATTGAAGTAAGCAATGACATTAAGCTATGCCTAACTTGTTGATGTAAGCGATGTTTTGGGCATATCGATGCTTGTTATTGATACGTTTAGTTTTGTTTTGTTTTGTTCTAAATGTGTTGTTGGGGTAGTGGAACCTATTGGGTGAGGGACAAAGTGCTTATCATGGGCGCTCTTCCATCCTTCTATGAGCGTCATGCCGAATTAGGGGAAGCCGGGGGAAGCCCGGCATAGTAAGCTCTTTTTCATTTTTATTATATACCATACGTGCTCTATAAAATGTTGATATCCTGTTAGCTAGCTAAGTTCATTGGCCGTGTTTTCCCAAAAATTCGGTTTCGTGGAATAAGTATAAGGTTGAGAAAATCGAGTTTTAAAAAAGTGTTAATTTTTCTGGGGTAAGCCCGGCATAGGGGTAACGCCGGCCACCTCCCCAGCGCTTTACAACGAGTTGATGAAACCATTATGTGTCTTCCAAATATTAACGGAAAGTGAAATATTAAGGTACTGATTAGCTCTGGACATCTTAGAGTTAAGTTCACTACTGGTATTTTAGCTAGCGTCTACCACATATACAGTACAGGTCGATGAAAATAGTGATGCAAAGTTGACAAAAAATGTGCATTTCAAAATTCCTTAAAATTTATTTTTCTTTTCACCTTAATGCATCATATTGCATATCATTCGACTCAGCTGATGAAGAAGAACACAACGACACCATTTTTGAAGCTCTAGCTTCATTGTCTGTCGCGTTATCTGCAAAAAGGTAGTTTGACCCTAGTTGACCTTAAGTGACATGACTGGCTTTGTCTATGATAACATGTTTATTTTCGAAATTTATCTTTGATCTAAGTGTAAACCAAACCTGCTCAGTACCTATTATCTCATGGAAAACAGTGGTTTAGTGGCATTGCTCTCGGTTGGGGGTAAGCCTGGCCACTCGCCCGGGGTTATCCCAATGTGCTAATTTTTATCTTAGAACAGCGATATTCGAAAAAATGTCATACTTAAGCCAGCCTGCCTCGTCACCCCTCACTACAAACACTTAAACGGTCCTTACATAACATTCGTATAAATATTAGTACTGTATGGTATAACATTAACAGTGCAACATATCTCACTTTTTAGCTAAAAACCCTTAAAATATCATTTTTACGCTATAACTTTAACAATATGCAATTTTTGTTAGCCTTAACTTTTTTGCTGGCGTTACCTTAGCTGCCACGCTGAAAGGACAAACAGTTGAGCATTTTATTGTGAATAATTTAGCCGGAAACGGGGTGGCCGGGCTTCCCCCGCGCCCGGGCTTCCCCCGGCTTCCCCTACCTATAACGAGTAATTTGTCTCAAAGCTAGCTGTTGAACACGTTCCTAATGTTTAACCTTATTTTCCAATTTGCAATATATTAGATTGTCTGTCCTCAGTCCTGGAACGATTAATTAGCGCAAAATTGTCTTATAAAAGGTGTTTTGGCTCTCCGAAGCAATAACGGTTGTTGGCTGGATAAAGGATTAGGGCTATGACAGAAGAGCCAAGCGTCTACCAGTATCACCCAGGATTACTTTACTACCCGTCAATATGGGTTCAACTGAAGTAAATATATCAAATAGCTAATACCTATAAAGGAGAAAAAACAAGTGATGTTATTTCCCAAAAATATATTGGGCGTTATACTCCATGGGCGTAGCAAGACGCCTGATTCGCATTCCCTCAATTTAGACGGCGTAATTAAAAACAATGCATACTAAATACATATAATTGCGATCCATTATTCGATGAAAGACGAGACATTTGCAAAATTAAGAGGTAGGTATTGAGCCTGGAAAGTTAGGGTAGGCGCTTTGCCCCACCCTACCCTATTTGACGAATTACTCGTAAGTGGGTGGCTGGCCTAGCATTGTGGGCAGTGCGTATGCACAAGGCTGTCTCCCCCTATCTGAGCTCTTTTTAATTGAAGGAAAGAAATCATCAGAAAACGCGCTTCTAATCCGACAGTGTGCCCGTCATAAAATATGTTTGAGTGCGAATTTGCGACTTTGTGGACGTAGCCAATATGCAACTATGAACTTTGAACTATGTAAATGATAGAATAGTGCTTTGATTAAATCGCGCGCGACTCGTCCCTTTTGCACATTCTGGAAAGTCAGCGCTGTAATATCGACCGCGGCGGCAGACAGGTCCCCCGGTCCCGAGTGTCATGCAGCTGGAATGCGACCGTGCGATTGCCGGAAAATGACCTCATCGACCCGGTCGTACACCCGCCAAGGACAGACGATATCATATGTATGTGCTCGGAGGCATGTCACGAATGTTCGGGGATTAACATTGGTAGTTACTGGTTTAAAACTGAGCCTTCCTATAGTATATGTTTTCATCTAATTGAATGTTCCAAAAATACCCATCTGCTAGCGATGTTTCTTGGGAATAGTTGTGTGAAAATCCTTATATGCTGCTAATACCGGTCATAAATATAGTTAATTGCAATATGGATCTGCAGTTACCTATAATTACCTTCCGCACAAAATAGCAAGTAATCATTATTCGACGTTTTACAGAGCCGATGGATCGATTGTGAGTGTTCGATTGGGCTCCTCCGGCTGATTGGCCGGGCTCCATTGGCAGCGCAAGTGACGTCTATTGGCCGGGTTGTTTCTGTCTTGTACCGTACTCCTCGCTCACCAGTCGGCAGGCGCCACAATGCAATAGTAATTGGCGACAGTCAGCGAGCGACCGAAGCGTCCGACAGCCTGCACAATTTATGACGCTCCGGGAAGCGCATCAACGAATCGGGGATTGGGTAAAGGTAAAAAAACACGAATTATGCTCCTCGGGCTACAGTAACATTATGCGAAACGCATGTGGCGAGGCTCCTACGCATAGATTTTCTGGAAACTAAACTTGAGTTATTGATTCCGTTCAGCTCATGGAAAACGAGCGTGGTAGACTGTGCCGCATAACACAATGAATTGCGGGACAGTCTACCCACCCAGTGCAGCCTAGTGCTGGCGGGTGAGCTCCACCCGATCTTAGCTTGGCCCGTTTGATATCCCATAAAGTAACCAGCTTGGTGAGCTGCATGTTCGACTTGTAACAGGCCGGTAGCCCCTTCCACTGCACCGGTTGTGGTTTATGGACCAAACATTCAACCCTCGCGGACTTTTGCGGACAAAGCGCAAACTGCGCGGGGGAGGGGATTTCCTCTAACTACCGTCAGACATGCCCACGCCGCGCCGTCCAGCATTCGTTGGCCACCAGTCCCTATGGAGACTCGTGCCCCGGTTCGGTGACGTCACAGTATTGATGGGAGGGCGGGCGCGTTCCAGAGCGCGGCCGGCCGGCAGTGCAAGCCGGGGCGGGGGCTGGACGGGCTGCTGCTGCTGCCGCTCAACACGGGAGCGAGGTAAGCACGGGTAGGACAGGTACTGTGTAACGGAGGATGTGTTGAGGAAGGTGGGTGATTAACTTTTACCCATTTAACTGCGATCGTTATACGTATAATGATTAATGAAATGCCGGGCATCTATCTTTCAATTCTTTGCTATAGCTTCAGCATATAGGTACGCTGAACACAGTGGCTAAATAATTTCATATTGGCCTCAATTTTCGCTTACGTACAAAATTTGCCAGTGACAAATCGCATTTCAGTTGCGCATTTCGCCATTGATTACAGCCACTTACCAATCCGACATCCCGTCTCTGCCGCTGTGTATTGATCTGCCCTGATCTCTGGCGGCCTCTCCTCACCACCTGCTCCGTCTCTGTCGTCAGTCATGATGACGTCCAGCGCCACAGACGGCCACTGGGGCTCCGGCCGGCCGACTAAGCCGCTGTTTCACCGGATCCCGCTGCCCACCGGTCTGGAGCGGACCCTGGAGGACCTGGCGAGGGAAGTGCTCCGCAAACAGCCGGAGGATATCCATCGCTTCTGTCACCAGTTCTTTGAGCACAGGCTCAAGGAGAGGGAGGGTGAGTGACAGAGGGTGTGCCGGGTAGGTCTTTGGTTCACACAGTCTTTCGAGCACCGACGTCAGCGAAGAATTCACTGCAGGTATGTCTATAACCTAATGTTTTTTTTTTTAATTTACCACATTTAATGCAGCATGCGAGTGGTTTTTACCGACAGGTTGAGCGATTGTAAATGACATATGGTGTACACTATAAGTGAGGCGCCGTTCACATAAAGATACAGGGTGTTCTAAAAAAAGCACGCACTCACAAACAGGGGGAATGTATGTATTACCTACGTGAGTGTGTAGAAGCAGGGTATGCATTACGTGTTTATAAGCAGCGTCTCCGATGTGTGACAGATCTGCGCAACAAGCCGGTTCTGCGCGGCGCTCCGACGTCACAGTCGGAGGAGGTACTGCAGGAGGTGGATGAGGACGAGACGGCCGGATCGCTGCCCTCCACCGGCGACAGGGCCGCGCAGGTCAGTACAAATCGGTCACCCTCAGCTATAAACCCTTTAAAAAACTGCGCTACCAGATGGATAACGTATAGTTATTTTCACTCGGTGACGACATTATAGTCTCGTTCTACTAGAGCGTAGCAAGCTGCTCGCTCAACCTGTAAGTACTGCTATGGCGGCGGGACCAAGTGCTGAGAGAGGAATGCCGTGAAGCCATCTTCGGTGGTACTTACGCTTGGATTTCGGTCTAAATCATACCTGTGATCCGGGATTTGCTTGGAAATGCTTGGCTTGTAACGTTGAATCCACGTATACGTTTGGATCACTGAGGTGGAACTAAGTTTTTTTTTATATGTAATGCAGAACCATAGTTCTCTCTTTTATGGTAGGCATAAAGGCGTGTTGATGAAAGGTAGGCACATTTTACAACTCGTACGTAGGTACAATGTAGGCTCGTAACCATAAAAGATGGTTTTAGCCACAGAAAGCGCATTAAGATTCGGTGACACTTTCAATGCCGCCGAATAGTGCATACAGTGCAAGCCTGCTAACCCTCCGACAGTCGCCGTGCTGACACCTCCCCCGTCTGTCGGCAGGAGCGCCACGAGGAGCGAACCCGACAGGCAGCGCTGCTGGTGGGCGCCCTCAGCGCCGCGGCCGCCGGCGCTGTCACCGTGGGGGCCGTGGCCGGCTCGGTCCGCGCCGCCGAGGCCCGGCTGTCAGCCTCTGCCGAGCCAGAGGCCACAGAAGGCGCCGAGACTGCCGACGACACGCCGGAGGACCGGGAGGACGCCAGTGCAGGTGGCGCCACCGCGGCGGACGGCGGTGAGGGCGCCACCGAGGCGGCGGAGGAAGGTGGCGCCACCTCTGACGCCGACGAGCGGCCGGGGTCGGCGGGGTCGGGAGCCGGGTGGGCCGCTGCCGGAGCCGCTGGGCTGGCGGCCGCCGCTGGAGTAGGTGGTCTCGCTCTTGCCTCGGTGGTTCCCGGCTCTGAGGCACCAGAAGCGGTCAAAGACGAGGAGGAGGAGGAGGATCAGAGGGATGGCGGTCACGGAGAGGCCGAAGCAGCGGAGCAGGGTGAAGAAGAAAAGAAAGAGGAAGAGGAGGAAGTCCAGGAACAACCAGGGGACGAGCCATCAGCGAGTCCAGAGATAGCGGGAGAGGGATCACCAGCTCAATCCCCGACTCAGGACACTGGTTCGCCAGCTAAGTCACCCTTTGAACATCAGTCACGAGCTCAATCATCGGCAGCAGATGCAGAAGGCCGCGCAGCGTCACCGGCAGAGCAGTCAGGGCACCAGTCTGAAGCAGAACAGGAGTCAAGGACTCAAACTCAGTCAGGAGATCAGGACTCTAGACCACAATCTCAAGCGGAAGAAAAGGAATTAATAACTCAATATCAATCAGAACAGGACTCTCGATCGCCATCTCAAGCAGAACAGGAGTCAAGGCCTCAATCTCAAGCAAAACTTGAAGACTCGAGACCCGGGTCACAAACTGAGCTCCAATCCTCAAGACCTCAATCGCAAACCGGCAATGAAGGCTTAAACGTCTTCACATCCGATGAGACAGAAGAGATCGACGCAGAAATAATAGCTGCAACACATTCGGAAAGCACTGAGCTGCCGGACCACTTAGAGCGATTCCGCATTGAGTCACCGTCGGAAGAGTACAAGGCGCTCGTTCGCGCTCGACTTGGTGCCTCACCGGGTGAGATTCTCACTAAAGAACGAGAGCTTCATAGCCACCCAGAGACGCATCAACCGGAGGGTGATCTTCACGATAAAGATGACCAGACTCAGCAAGACATTATGGAAGCCGTTACTACGGAAGTATCTCGTCCTCAGTCTGCTGCTGCCGATAAATCTCGTCCCCAGTCTGTTAAAGAAGAATCTCGTCCCCATTCCACTAAGGAGGAGTCTCGTCCGCAATCCACTGCTGCAGAGGGATCTCGTCCGCAGTCCGCTGTTGTAGAATTGTCTCGTCCCCAGTCTGAATCTGCGCAAAAATCTCGTCCACAGTCCGTTGCCTCAGAGTTATCTCGTCCGCAATCTGCTGCTGCAGATGGATCTCGTCCGCACTCTGCTGCAGAAGAATCTCGTCCTCAATCTGCCAAAGAAGGATCTCGTCCTCAGTCTGCTGCAGATGGATCTCGTCCGCACTCTGCTGCAGAAAAATCTCGTCCTCAATCTGCCAAAGAAGGATCTCGTCCTCAGTCTGCTGCAGAAGGATCTCGTCCCCAGTCTGCTCAAGAAGGATCTCGTCCCCAGTCTACCATGGAAAAATCTCGTCTGCAATCTACTGCTGCAGAGGGATCTCGTCCACAGTCCGTCGCTGTAGAATTATCTCGTCCCCAGTCTGGAACTGCGCAAGGATCTCGTCCACAGTCCGTAAAAGAAGGATCTCGCCCCCAGTCGGCTGCTGCAAAAGGATCTCAACCCCAGTCAGCTGCTGCATCGGGATCTCGTCCTCAGTCTGCCGCAGAAGAATCTCGCCCCCAGTCTGCTGCAGAAGAATCTCGTCCCCAGTCTACCATAGAAAAATCTCGTCTGCAATCTACTGCTGCAGAGGGATCTCGTCCACAGTCCGTCGTTGTAGACTTATCTCGTCCCCAGTCTGGAGCTGCGCAGGGATCTCGTCCACAGTCGGTTGCTTCAGAGGTATCTCGTCCGCAATCAGCTGCTGCAGATGGATCTCGTCCGCACTCTGCTGCAGAAAAGTCTCGTCCACAGTCTGTACAAGAAGAATCTCGTCCCAGGTCGGCTGCTGCAGAAGGATCTCGACCCCAGTCAGCGACTGCAACGGAATCTCGTCCCCAGTCTGCCAAAGAAGGATCTCGTCCCCAGTCTGCTGAAGAAGGATCTCGTCCACACTCTGTTAAAGAAGGATATCGTCCTCAGTCTGCTAACGAAGGATCTCGTCCCCAATCTGTTAAAGAAGGGTATCGTCTCCAATCTACTATCGAAGAATCTCGTCTGCAATCCACTGCTTCAGAGTTATCTCGTCCGCAATCTGCTGCAGCAGAAGGATCTCGTCCGCACTCTGCTGCAGAAAGATCTCGTCCACAGTCTGTAAAAGAAGGATCTCGTCCCCAGTCTTCTAAAGAACGATCTCGTCCCCAGTCAACGACTGCAGCAGGATCTCGTCCTCAGTCTACTGCGGAAGGATCTCGCCCCCAGTCTGCTATAGAGGGATCTCGTCCTCAGTCTGCTGCTGCAGAAGAATCTCGTCCCCACTCTGCTAAAGAAGGATCTCGTCCCCAGTCAGCGACTACAGCAGGATCTCCTCCACAGTTTGCTGCAGAAGAATCTCGTCCACCATCTGCTAAAGAGGGATCTCGTCCTCACTCTGCTGAAGATGGATCTCGTCTCCAGTCTGCAGCTGCAGAAGGATCTCGTCCTCAGTCTGCAGCTGCAGAAGGATCTCGTCCTCAGTCTGCAGCAGGAGATGGATCTCGTCCTCAGCCTGCCATAGGAGGATCTCGTCCCCAGTCTGCCAAAGAGGAATCTCTTCCTCAGTCCGTTGCTGCGAAGGACTCACGCCCCCAGTCTGCTACACAAGGATCTCGTCCCCAGTCTGCAGCTGTGGAAAGATCTCGCCCTCAGTCTGTTACAAAAGGATCTCGTCCGCAGTCTACTAAAGAAGGATCCCGTCCCCAGTCAGCAGCTCTGGAAGAATCCCGTCCTCAGTCTGCTACAGAAGGCTCTCGTCCGCAGTCTGCTGTTGTGGAAAGATCACGTCCCCAGTCTGCTACTGAAGAAGGATCTCGTTCCCATTCTGCTGCTGCAGAAGGGTCCCGTTCCCAGTCTGCTAAAGAAGGATCGCGTCCTCTCTCTGCTGGAGAAGGATCTCGTCCCCAGTCTGCTACCGGAGAAGGATCTCGTCCTAATTCTGTTAAAGAAGGCTCTCGTCCGCAGTCTGCTGCTGCAGAAGGATCTCGTCCACAGTCTGCTACACAGGGATCTCGTCCACAGTCTGCCAAGGAAGGATCTCGACCCCAGTCCGCAGCTGTTGACGGATCTCATCCGCAGTTCACCGCTGTAGAAGGATCTCGTCCCCAGTCTGCCGCAGAAGGATCTCGTCCCCAGTATGCAGCTGCAGACGGATCTCGTCCCCAGTCTACAGCCGCGGTAAGATCTCGTCCTCAGTCAGCGACTGCAGACGGATCTCGTCCCCAGTCTGTATCTGCAAAAGGATCTGGTTCCCTGTCAGCTGCAGCGGGAGGATCTCGTCCCCAGTCTGCTAAGGAAGGATCTCGTCCCCAATCAGCGGCTGCAGAAGGATCTCGTCTCCAGTCTGCTACTGCAGAACAATCTCGCCCCCAGTCTGCAGCTGCAGACGGGTCTCGTCCCGAGTCTGCTGCTGCAGACAGATCTCGTCCCGAATCTGCTGCTGCAGACGGATCACATCCCCAGTCTGCTACTGCAGGCGGATCTCGTCCCCAGTCTGCAGCTGCAGACGGATCTCGTCCCCAGTCTGCTACTGCAGACGGATCTCGTCCCCAGTCTGCTACTGCAGACGGATCTCGTCCCCAGTCTGCTACTGCAGACGGATCTCGTCCCCAGTCTGCAGCTGCAGACAGATCTCGTCCGCAGTCTGCAGCTGCAGAAGGACCTCGTCCCCAGACTGCTACAGTGGAAGGATCTCGTCCCCAGTCAACTGCTGTTGCAGAAAGTCGTCCTCAGTCCACTTCTACTGCTGAAATGGCGCGTTCTCAGCTTATTGACTCGACTGGGTCCCGCCCTCAGTCCGCTGCGGGTGCTGTGTCCCGTCTCCATTCGGGTCTAGCAGAGGGATCACATTCTCAGTCTGTTGCCGCAGAAGATTCAAATCCTCAACATGAACCTGGCAGCCCTTCCTCGTCAAGCAGGATCACGTTGGAGCCTGTGCGGGCCGCGGTGGTGTACGACACGCTGTCAATGACCCGATACGGCGACCGGGTGATCTCTCCGGGAGCAGAGACCGAGTACCGGGCACAGTACCGCCGATCAGATGCCACAGAGTCGCTGGCATCAATGGCCAGAGGAGGCAGCCGTGCACAGTCTGCGAAATCACAGCAGGGGACGGAATCATTGCCGGGAGAACTGCAACAGGAGAGTAGACCTCAGTCGGCAGAAGCTCATCAGGAGCAGGAGTCAAAACAGGAGAGCAGGCCTCAGTCAGGAGGACTCCAACAGGAGAGTAGGCCTCAGTCAGGAGGACCACAGCAGGAGAGCAGGCCGCAATCGGAGGGACCAAAGGAAGAAAGCATATCGCAATCGGAAGGACCACAGCAGGAGAGTACTGCTATGTCAGAAGTACTTCAGGGAGGGAGCAATGCACAATCACAAGAGCTTCAAAATGAGACAAGACCACAGTCAGGGGAGCCTCAGCGTGAGAGCAGGCCTCTGTCAGAGGAACCTCTACAACAGGATACAACCCAACCAGAAGAATCTCAGAAAGGTGGCAGTCCCCTACCAGATACGGTCCAGCAGGAGAGCAGGCCCCAGTCAGGGGTGACACAACAGGAGAGCAGGCCCCAGTCAGGGGTGCCACAACATGAGAGCAGGCCCCAATCAGGGGCGCCACAACATGAGAGCAGGCCCCAGTCAGGGGTAACACAACAGGAGGACAAACCTCAATCGGAAGAACCTAAGCAGGGGAGCAGGCCTCAATCAGGAGCAGCTCAACAAGGGTACACATCTCTGTCAGATGAACACGAAAACCCAAATGCGTCGATTGCTGGTGAGCTCCAAGAGAATGCTGATAATGCCATGAACGAATCACTAATAACTTTATCGAATATTGAGGGGCAGAGTTCGGTCCACTCTGCAGGCGCAGTTCGCACTTCATATGATCTGATGAAGAAGCATGAGTTCGAATCCATGGCAAAATCGCCCCTGCATGAAGTCGATGATAGCGTGCAGCGTAGTGCGTCTCAAATGTCAGCCAAGTCCCCCACCGAAGATGCTGCTGTAATGGGCGCGGAGTTGACCTCCACTCATGACCAGCACGGACAAGGTGACGAGCTCGTAACCTCGGAACTGAACGGAAGCAGGCCAGCTTCCTCTACATCGGAGGCTAAGGAACCGGAGACAGAGCCGGCTGCAGCTGTTGAGGAGAGTCACCAAGCTGATGAAGATGAAAGTCAGCTTGGCCCCAACCCGGTCGCTTCCAGCCCACACGGAGACGAGACATCACTGCAGGGTAACGGACCAGCTGAAAAACAAGAGCAGTCTCAGTCGGAAGTAGACGGCTTATCCCCTCGGCCACTGGATGCATCATCAGGCCACCAGAACATCGAATCTTCAGAGGTAGATCATGCGTCTGTGAACCAGGATTCTGAATCAACGCATGAAGAGTTCTCGAGCATGCAGCCAGAGGTGTCCTCTCTCAAACTGGACATTTCGTCCCCTCTGCCGAACGATTCGTCACTGCAGCCAGACACACCTTCTCTACAACAGGATGCCTCGTCGACGCAGGATGCCCCATCGCCTCCTCCAGACGACGCCTCGTCCCCTCAGCCAGGGACGCTGTCTCCGCAGCCAGCCGACGCAGTCGAGAGTGCGCACGCTGATCACCTGGTGACCTCAGATGACGAATACGACCCGCTGGCTCTCACCCAGTCAGTGATTCTTCCCGTGGGCCTCAGCGGCGGACGACAGTCCGTCCAATCCGAGAAGGCCAGCTCACCGTTCCCGGAGGTAGCGAATGAACGCTTCAGTCCGTCACCAACTGGTGGAAAGGATCAGATAGAGAAAGCTACCGAACCTAATATGTTGGACGTAGAGCCAGGAACACAGAATCGTAGTGCTACCTTCGACTTAAGTCAGGGTGAAAATATCTTGCCCAATTCTTCGCTCGAGCGACAAGAAGAATCCCGTGCTGACGAAGATCTCAATAAAGGAAGCGTTGATCAAGTGGATGGTGCGGCAGTGCCGGATGAAAATGAGCCTGCAGTCAGCGAAAATGTTGAGGACGATCAGCAGACTTCGAACTTGAATCAGACACCAAATGCTGAAGAGGCACGCGTGTCAGACAATGCCGAAACCAACAGCGTAATCCCTGAAGCCAGCACATCGACCGATTCGAAGGATGTTGATGCCGGTCCTTCACTGACCGCAGTGGCTGCATCAAAGCTCAACGTCATATCGCCTACACCGACACAGAATAACAGCAGCCCGGACAGTCAGACGAAGGCGAGCGACGACGACCAATCCTCCCACCTGGCCGTGCCGGCGGTGGGTGCCATCGGCTCTCTGGTTGGAGGCAGCGCTGGGGCCCTTGGCGCCCTCACCAGACGTCCGGAAAGCCTGGAGAATGAGTCTGAAGTGTCTCAGAGCAGCGCATTGCCGGTTATTGAGCAGTCAGAAGGAAACCTGGAAGCAGACGGCGATAGAGCAGATGCCGAGGGCCAGGAGACCGAGAGCTGGCTCAGCAGAGCTAAAAAAGAAATCAAAGGAGTGTTCACAGGAGATGAGGAGCAGGAGCCCAACAGAGATGATGACCCATCAGGGACAAATGGCAACGCTACGGAAGCCGAAGAAGAGCAAGAGTCTGGCAGCTGGTTTAGCAAGGCTAAAGATGAGGTAAAGGGTGTACTTTTCGGAGACGAGGTTAAAAACGAGGGAGATCCGATTGACGGCTCCAAACCTCAGATAGGTGACAATGAACATCAGGAGAGTGATGCCGGAAATCAGAATGGCAGATCAGAACCACAAACCGAAGAACAGTCTGGAAGCTTGCTAGACAAGGCTCGAGCTGAAATAAAAGACATCTTTACTGTCGGAAAGGATGGACAAGAGCAGGATGAATCCAGTAAGGATGATGGAAAATCGTTGAGCGGCCAGACCTACGAAGCGGAACACCTAGAAGACAGCACGCAAGAACGGGAAAATTCTGAAAGCCTGTTTAGTAAGGCCAAAAATGAAGTGAAAGGTGTCTTGTTTGGGGACGAGGTAGACGACAAAGAAGATGAAAGTGGATCCGAATCCCACGACGCTCCTTCTGGATCCCAGCACGACAGCTCTCGGCCTCAGGAGGACGGCGCTGCTCTGGAGCAACAATCAAACGGTGAAGAGAAACACGAAGAGGACAGTGGACAGTCAGGAAGCTGGTTTAGTCGAGCTCGTAATGAGCTGAACAGCACCTTTCAAGATCTAAAAAAGGATGTGAAGGACACGTTTACATTCCCGGGCTAAGATTTGGATGACAATGGATGATTTTGTTAAATTCAAACTGGTTACTGAACACCTGACTGGATTATGTGTGTCACATGTTTACAGCACAGTCTTATGCAGTTACAGATCTCCAGAGACCTGCATAATCTGAGCGATTGTTCACGTTTCTCGGTATGCCGTTCCATTGGAGGCTGTCATTGCAGCATTATGCTTCTATTGGAAACACGATGTGCACCTCATTCACAACGCAACAATATATGCATGATTGTTAACTGTAAAGCCCACTTAAGACTTATGGGCTTATCGCTGATCAGTGTGATTAGTGTTAGGCGGGAGAAGGTGAAGACTCTTGAGAGTGATTTCAAATGAGTGTGAAATATTCGCCCATGCATCGAAGTGTTAACGAACATGTTTTTAACATTTTACGGGGACATGCGAGTTCTTGACAATAGCAGGAATGGTCAGTCGCATCATTAAGGACGCTTTCAAATTTTTAACTACAAATATTTTTAATAAACAGTTAATTGGGAAAAGGCATTGGCGACGGCATCCAGTGTGATGTTGACATTGCTAGTCGTTAAGCTGTGATTGCACCTGCTACTTATTGGTATTGAGTTGGTTAACTCGTGTTCACTCAGCACATGGACGTGCATGTTTAATTGATATCACCGTTTCACTGAGTTAACAGCCACCTGTTACGGAGCGGGAAAATGCCGAGTTTGTTTAGAGGTGCAATGTGATATCATTGTGTTGAGTAATAGCATATGTAATAGACATGCGTGTCCTACTCTAAGTGTTCCAAAAACTGTTCTGTGTTCATCTTGCTTTCGTTTTCTGCCGAGTACCAAATAAACTATATAAAAAGAAACAGTGTTTTGCATCGGACGACTGGTACCGACTGGCAGCACACAACATCCGCCCTGGCTTCCCCTTGCAGGACTAGCTCACCCACATTCTTACACACATTACGAGTACACCTCGTCCGGGCTGACCGTCACCCTCACCGCTGTGGGCGACCGTTCTTGGTAGCAGGGATGCGGAGCCGGAGCCGGAGCCGGAGCCGGAGCCGCCGGAGCCGGCATATTTTGCCCGGAGCCGGAGCCGGAGCCGGAGCCGTGAAACAATGTAGCCCGGAGCCGGAGCCGGAGCCGGAGCCGTCAAAAAAGGGGGCGACTCCGGCTCCTTTTCTTTAGAGGAAACAATTATTTACCTAGTTCGGTTTGACAGTAGGGACCGTCGAGGTCCTGGTCAGTGTTCTCTACCTTCAGTGTTCGCATACACGGTTACACCTCGCCTCGCATTCAAAGCAATGCTGCCACCACCTTCAAGGCGTAAAACAATGTGGTATTCAAAATGTGGTATTCCACCCGTATTTAATTGATCGCATAGGGGATGTAGGGTAGGGTGAGGTAATTTGAACATGTGGGGCAATTTGAACATAGTGTGAATAACACAAAATTACGGAAAATCCATAAGTGGCATGACAATAAGACCAATGAGAGAAATTATCGTAACTAAAAGGGCTATCATATGAACGGGGTTTAAAGTTTCAGGGAATGAAGATGTTGACGCACAGTGTAAAAAATAATTTCGCAAGGATAAACGCCTAACAACACGTCATTGCAACTTCATTGTAGCGCAAAATCTTGCATTGCTAGTGCCTAATACGTAACAGCTTTTGTTGTACAATGACCTAATCAGTGTCTTCAATCCAAGAAATTTGCTTTTGAACCCTGTTTTTGAAAATGGCAAAATAACTTTTTGTGTGGGGTAATTTGAACATAGTGTGAGAATTTCAATGAAAACAGGGATAGCTCCGAAAAAAACAGCTCTCCCAGTTTTTTTTTTGCCAATATTTTCGACCCAAAGCAGTAGCAGATAAGTGATGCCAGTTTTCGAAAATTTACGTCTAATTTCCGTCTAATGCCCGGCATTTTCGTTGATTTTCCGTCCAAAAATGTTAAAGTCAACTATTTGTCCAAATATGTCCGAAAATTATGCAGCTATCAACACTCAAAACCGTCATTTATATTGCTTATCACGTAATTTTACCAGCCGAAAAGTGTTCATTACATTGAGAGCTTAACAAGCTTTCCATTCGCCAAGCAATGCTACGCACGATTACTTGATAAAAATGCTCAAGTGTGGCAGGCCATCGTCCAATGTTGTCCAGACTACTATACCTACCTTTGTGCAATCAATTCCGAATTGGACATAATAAAGAATCGGAACTCCGAATGTCCAGGTTCCGATTGGCACCACTATAACAGATGAAGTAAGGTTTGGTAGAGTTTTTATCGAACGGAGATGATAGACGTCCTGTTAATTGAAGAGAGGCGAATTCTTTCAACTGACCTGTGTGCAGCGTGCAGATATCGATACTCTGCAACTGTTATTTTTGTTGCTGTGTTGATTTTCAAATGAAGGTATGTTTAGAATTGCTCTACCTATTCGTTTATGGGTCAAACAATGCATCGGTGCTGGCGAGACTATCGTTTTTATGGCAGGTAAAGGCAGTATGTTCAAATTACCCCACGGTGGGGCAATTTGAACACACCGTGACTTGGTGGAGAAGTGATGCTATGCTATTCAAGGTATGCTCGGCTCGTCCAAAAATGAGGCTTGCATGGTAAAAGCAAGTGACACATGCGCTACTGAAACAGTTTTTCTTCATCCAGGGTTGAGCTGGAAGTTGGTACAAGGGAGAAGACGTAAAAATATGCTCAAATTACCCCACACTACCCTACTTGGTAGAAGCCGGAGCCGGAGCCGCCGGAGCCGGAGCCGCCGGAGCCGGATCATTTTACTCGGAGCCGGAGCCGGAGCCGGAGCCGCCATGACATTTCACCCGGAGCCGGAGCCGGAGCCGGAGCCGATTTTTTTCTCCGGAGCCGGAGCCGGAGTCGGAGCCGTCTGAAATTTCCACGGCTCCGCATCCCTGCTTGGTAGCTTCGAGAGGGGTGACCGTTTGAGGCATGAGCGGCAGGACGAGCTGTGCCAAAGCGATATTAGCCGTTTTCACGACGGGCTATCCGGCGAATGCACCTGATTTGACCAAATCTGCACCTAATCTCTTTTACAGCAAATATCTTTATTTTATGAATATATTTCAGTGTTTTAATCGATGATACCTACTCTCAGATAATATGACAAAGCAGGCTATAAGCAAATAGTGCAACCCTAGCTGATAGCTACGAAGAGACACACTGAACCTGATTTGACCAAATCTGCACCTGATCTGCACCAGATGTGCACCAAATGTGTACCAGATGGCCGTCGTGAAAACGGCTATTACCGTACGTACTACCGCACGGGGACGGTCTCTGCCGCTGAGGCGCACCGTTGATCCGCACAGACCAGTGTCTTCGCCCTATCTTATCGTCGCATAGCTCTGCAACAGTTCGTCTTTTTGGCCAAAATAGATCGCCCCAACAAAATATTAAACGGGATACAAGCTAGACTCAAGACTGTCCCCGAGAATATTGACCCGATACAGTATGTTAGTTGCCGAAAAGTCTCTGTATCTTGCTTTTACTCAGACAAAAACAAATAACAAAAAAAGGTAAAGGTTGAACCTCCAATGGCTAGTCCACCGACACGTCGGGTTCGTGAATCGCATGACAGCCAGCACCGCTCACCTTGACCTGACCTTACCGAGGCCGACCCCGGCCCGGACGGGAGGGTCAGCCTGTCCCGTCCGGCCGCGGTCAGTGTTCTGTGAAGTGGCCGCCCGGCAGTGCGCGGTGGTGGGGTGAGCTGCGTGGTAAGATATGCCCGGGACAGTGAGATTCGGTGAGAAGGTGACCTCCGTTGGATCAGACGGCACTGTGCGGATCATTGCTACGCATCATGTTCTAGGTAAGTCACAATAATCGCACTGAGTAGGTATCTAGTTGAGCACATCCATCCAGCCTCGAGATATGATGCGATTGAATAGAGTAGGTGGCAGAGGAAAGAGCTACTATATACTGGGTTTAGGTTTAGGTTACAGCAAACTTCCGTCTCTGCTACTGGATAGCCCACCCCGGAAGTAATGACTGCAACGAGGATGAAATGACGGCACCGGCCACCGGGTATCAGAGTCGGGCTGAAACCTATTTATTAAAACCAGTAAAGCGCCTTTTGGGCGAAGAACGAGCGAGCGAGATAGTGAGCCCTGCACGTGCGGAAGGGCGAGAGGGTACTTCCAACGGGCTTGTGCAAAGCTCCCTTCTAACCGGTCGCTAGCGGTGTGCCAAATTTGAACGCAATCGGCCCAGCCGTTCCTGAGATCTGGAAGCGGCATTCTGCACGTGCGCACGTGCAAACGGGGTCCAAAATGACTTTTGCACGGCACCCTACTAACCGGTCCCCAACCGTGTACCAAATTTGAGCGCAATCGGCCCAGCCGTTCTCGAGATCTGGAAACGCCCCCTGCACGTGCGCACGTGCAGTAGCACCCCAACCGCAACACATGGGAATGCATTGCCTGGTGGGTGCCTACCTGTATGCCAAGTTTCAGCGAAATCGCACCAGTAATTACCGAGTTACTGAAATGGGAACAAATTTGGCACCTCTTGTTTTTGTATTTTGCACGTGCTGTGGGGGTCACTCACATAGATCAAGAGTATCCGACCTTTGGTAGAAGGGATGCAGCTACCTTATAAAAGTTACCGCAAGACAATCGCTCAAGCCGCTGCTGAGATATGGGCCTCTCAAAATCACTACTTTTGCAAAACTGCTTGAACACCCTTGACTTTTCACGTGGCACGTGCCACGACGGTCACTGAGATGTGTCAAAAGTAGTCAATTACGGGGTAGAAGGGATGGGGCTATCCAGCAAAAAAGACCGCAGGCCAATCGGTCCAGCGGTTGCTGAGATATAAGCCTCTCAAAAGCGTTACAGGCCGGGCCGGGCCGGGCCGGGCCGGGCCGCTCATACTGAGATTTTTCCGTTATATTGAAAAGACTCACTTCGCTCGCTGCGCTCGCTCGCTCGTAATTAGGCATGGCTTATGCAATCCGCTCAACCATTCAGCGACCTTCACCTATCTGGGTTTCCTTGTTTCCTTGTGATCAGGTAAATTATCTTACGCTTCACAACAAAGAAACCAAGGATACGGGTATCAATACTTGAAACGCGTTTTAGTTGCTGTAGTTAATCGATATGCGGCCACCCGATGTCTTAGGTTTGAACGGATAGCTTTATACGCTTCTTAGCAATGTTTAATTTTATTCGACTCTCCGCGACTCGGCCACTGCATTGCGTCTCAGCAGCACAGCAACTCTTCCTTCACCGAATTTTCCACTGAATCCCGGTTCATCTGAGAGGATCGGCCGCTCGGGCAGTCTCTGTTCCCCGGCCAAGTATCAAGAGGCCAACAAAGCGCACCGAACGCCCCGGACTGGCCATGATTTAAGCGGTCAGAGACGTGACAGAGAATCCAGATGAGCTTCTTTCCGGCCAGCACCGTCGTTTGTAGTGGCTAACGACGCTCAAAAATACCCCCAGAAGCCATTTTGCTGATTGCCCGGAGCATCTGTGTGGAAAGATTGCCAATGATTCATGGCGGTCGGTCTGCCGGCGAGTCGGCCGGCGAGTCGGGCCAATCCAATCGGCCGCCGCCGGTGCCGCCGCCGCCGCCCGCCTAATGCATTCAAATGACATGCAAATGGAGCGTGGCGTCGTCAGACGTAAGGAAGCGCGCCGCCGGAGTGGAGGATTTGCGGTCTAACGACGGCCATCAGACGGCGGCCGGGCCGGCCGGCATCATGGCGGCGCGCATCAGCCACTCGTTTTCAGACCATCAATCAGCGAATTAAATCGTCAACGGAGGCATCTCATCCGGATAAGAGCGGCCGGCGGTGGAGTCGGCCCGCAGC